ACATTTTGCAAGTTGTTGGTAATTCTGTTACGAGAGCCTCGGGACTAATTTAATAAAATTTCACAAGTGAATAATTGTTCAGTAGAAGAGCACGGAATTAAATGTAATCCTCTCGGAGGCTCTGGGCCCTGCTGAACTATCTTGGAATGCAGACGTTTCATAAAAAGATTTGCACATCATTCAAATGGAGACATACTCACGCATCAACAGTGACCTCAAGGCTGAGCAGATGGGATTTAAAATGCATGTGTGCAGGTAAAATGTATATACACCTTTAAAGAGAAGTGATGGTGTAAAAATAAATAACTTCAGCTCAAAAACTCCGGAGAGCAGCAGTTTGTTCAGCCTAACCTCACATGAACCAACAGTGATGTCTCATGAAATCGTTCCGTACTGCCTAACAAACCAGACAGAATGTCTTTTTGTGGTTAACGCTTTGGGTAACACTTAAACTGCTGAGCTCATATGCATTTATGAATGCTTAATCAATGTGCAGATCATGAGTGATGTATGACTCATGAAGAATGAAAAAACAACGACTGATGAAAAGTCTATATGGTTCACAGACGATCATTTTGAGTGCATGTGTGGTTTTTCAATAAAACATATTGTCTCTTAGTTAAAAAAAAAATCACAATCCCAGGATATTTCTGTGAGCCCCATAATGGAAATTTCCATTATGACTCATGGAAATTTCCATTATGTGTTAGCATGAAGCTAACAAAGAAAGTGTTGTTTTTTAAATATGGATGCGACAGTTATGCAAGCTGTGCAATGAGTTGTATGAGCAATATGCTGTTTGAATAAACATTAGTTTAATTAATATTTGAACAGTTTGTGTATTTTTTTTATACTTTTTAGATATAACCTGAAAGACTCTCATTTGAAGAACTGTTGAACTATCATCTGAGAACTTCAGGGATTTGACCTCTGTTGGTTTTTTCTTTGGTGAAAACGTGTTTGAAAACTAAGGAAGCCCTTAGTGGACATACACTCAAGTATTTTATTTTACTCCATTTTTTTAACAACGCAGGTTTTCCCAAGATCTCATTGTTGATCTAAAGAAAACGGCTGAAATTAACTTTTTTGTCACGGGAAGGCTGGCAATGCTATCCCAAGGTAACAATACTACAGTTTATTCATTATCACAAGAAAACAAGGTAAAATAACATAAATGAATGTATGTCCTCTCAGGGCTTCTTGTGGAAACTATTGAAGATCCACTGTTTAATTAATTAAGGACTAATGATGGTTATCAAAGTTATTTTTTGAATTATTTGTATGCAGGCTTCTACCTGATGTGTAACCATTAATGCACAGTTAACTACTCCATTACTGGGCAGTAATTAAGCATTAATAAATGCTTATGAGGGCAACAGTGTTGTAAAGTGTTACCTCTATTTAAAATCATGCAGCCTGCTGCACTGCACAAAGAGCAGGCCTCACATCACAGCATGTCATAGTGACCGACTCCCTTCACTGTGCTGTTTGTTATTCCAGCACACTTCTGTTTCTGTCCGGAGCAACGTGTTGGACTGAAAGAGAGAGAGAGAGAGAGAGAGAGAGAGAGAGAGAGAGAGAGAGAGAGAGTTTGCGATTAATTAAAAATGTGGCAATTCGTTTCGGCTCTGTCATCTGCGGCTCCCCCACTCTGGGCTCAATAGGTGCTACTTCACTGGCTCTGCCGTTATTAATCTCTCTCTCTCTATTACTGCTCGGATCTCTTTCTTAACTGCAGTCCTCTTCCTCCTCTTCTTTTCTTCTTCTTCTTCTTCGTCTTCTACTGCATGTTCTTCTCTTCCATAAACTCTCCGTCTGTTACCTGTTCATCCTGAGCTCTCACTTCATCGTGTCCTTGCAGGTCAACAAGCAATCATTTCCCATCAATTGACCTGCATATTTCCTTTTCTCATTACCTTCCTTCATCTTCTTCCACCCCTTCAGAAGTCTGCTCTTTACCCCCCTCTCTCTCTTTCTTTCTCTGCCTAAAGCTTAAATGTCAGCAAAGGTGAGAAACCTATACAGGCATAAGGACGTCTCTGTGCAGCCCTGTTGCTCTTAACTAACGAAACACAAGCTGGTAATCAAGGTAACACCCTCCAATCCATCTGGGAGCGTTGTGCACGCGTGTCTGTAGGTCACGCCGCTACTATACTCACACATGCTCATGAAACATTCATGATTCAGCGTGAGCCCAACGAGCTGTGTCATAATGATTGAATAAGTCGAACTCGCGCGGCTGCAAAGAATCAGCCGTCTGCAGTCGACTCTGCCATTAACTCAGACAACTATTGTAGGATTGCATTACACCCGTGGGTCATTGTTGCTCACTGATTAAACAAACAGCCTCAGTCACATTTGTAAAGACGCCTCGGCAAGCAGAATCGAATAAAAACTTTAAATGGCAGCGCAGAGGATTGCTTGTGCAAGACTAGATTGGCTTTCTGAGGGAATTAATTAGAGGAGACGGACAGATCTGTACTTTTACTGATACTGCAAATCTACTGCAGCTGAGGCATGCAAACAGCTTTTTGAAAACTCTGCATTGCACATTCGTTTTTTAAACCAGAACAGCTTAGGTTGAGCTCCCAGTCTCTATCAAAGTAAAGGGATACAGAGTGTATGAGTATGTTACGTAATACAAGGGTCGAATAGTAAACCCATTGAGCTATCCTTTATTCTTTTTTTTTTTCCACAGAATGATTTTTGTTGATTTTGGTGACCCATGTGGACAAAGCAGTCTTGCCTCTGCACTGATCTTGTCCTGTACATATGTTTGAAGCTGTATTTACTGTTTAAGAATCTCTCCCTGCTTTCACATCAGTCATCTGATCACTCACGGTGAATCTTTACTGCGGGGAATTTCAACAAAGGCTGTTTAAGCAGGGTGCTGTAACTCACATTGTCTTACACCTTCCCGGTGGCAGTGTTAACAAATGTTAAAAATAACTATGTGGAAATTATAAATCTTGTTGCTGATGCTTTCTTGTTGGCTTTGGAAGCTCATATAGAGGCATTCGTACTGTTAAGTCTTTTTCAAAACCAGATAAAAACTCCTCAGGAGCTTTAAACTCGAGCGTTAACTTCAGAGTTAAGTGTCACATTAGTCCTCACTGGGCTTAAGTGTTGTCTGTTTTTACTAAAACTATCCCTATTTCACATATTTTCTCCTATATTGCTTTAAATACTTTATTTTTTTACTGTTTATTGTATCTTATGTAAGTCCCCTGAAGTTTTTACTATTATGTTTGTTAATTTACCTAAAACTTAAAGTCACTTACCTGTATCTATTAACCTCAGGGGAATGTCCAGAGGGGTAGACACTGGTGGCATAGAACTCAACAGTGACCGCCCACTTTTTCGGTGGTCTGTTTCCGGAAGTAAATTTCCCCATTAAAATCCTCCCCTGATTTTTCACAAAATCCTTATATCAAGAGATTGCTGGAACCACGACAACCAGCTACCCCAATACTCGTGACTATGGTACATTTAATATAGAATCAAAACGGCATTAAAAAACTGGAAAAAAGGCAAAGGTACAAAACTGTGTATATCATTTTTCATCGGGAGTCAAGGAACTACCCATCCCACAAACATTTCTTCTTAAAAGTAACTGTTGTGGTTGTTATAGTGTTTATACTGTTAACACAAGTGTTGTACTATCTATATAAACTACATTCACAGCCGCATTACAAGGTTATTAGTACATGTCAAGTTAGCTAACTAACTAGCTAGCCTGCTAGCAAAACTTCACTGTTCGCATATGGCGCCAAGGGGCGGTAAGTATTGCCATGGTAACAGCAAGCTCAACCAATCAGAGACGTATCTGTGACACTCTATGATCGTGGGTAGATAGTGCCCGGATATCACGAATAAACCTTGTTTTTCTTAAAACGAGGTTGATATAATTCAAACTTGTGTCTCCTACAGGAGCAGATACGATCATTTTATACTCGGGTAGCTCGTGGTAAGTCTGCCTTGGATGGTTATGCTAATAATCAAATCCGCTATGGAGAAAATGAATAGGATTTTTACTTCCGGCACCACACTGTTGAGCCCTATGGGCCCCCCTTGAAATCTTATTGGCCACCCCAAATCCTTTACAATGATTGGCTATTTGCCTTGCATGAGGTGGGACTTATGTGGAAATCCACTATTTAGGCTGTGTCGCAACAGGCAGCTCTTAGTTTTCAGTGAGCAGATGTTTGTCTGCAATCTTTAAAATAAAAGATGCATCTGAATATCTGAAGGAATTGTATTGTTTGCTCCTATATCTCTGTTATTAAGCATCTACAAGTCTCCTCTTTAAGCTGACCTCCAGGTGTTCTGTCCTTGTCGCTCTCTCTCACACACACACTCATATAACTCATGCAAGGTTAGTGTACACACATCGCTTTGCCTCCCTGTATGAGACGAGGTCAGCGCTCATAGATCACGCAGTGGGACAGAGGCTGACAGTGACTGTGAATGGACTCATGGGTCGATGGGTAAAGACACAACCAGGAAGCGTCATTAATTAATTCTGGTCACTGATGTCATTGAAACCCTCACTCAACAGGTCACTCTTGAGTCATCACTTACTTAATCCTTCTTGTACACATACATCAATATCAACCTCAGATTGATTTTTTTTAATTGTATAATTTTAAGTTATAACAAGATTAAATTATCCACTGGATGTAGGGTCTGTTTTTCCAACTTAAGAGACACATATGGAAGCAAACTCCAACAGACAAATACACACAAAGTACACACACATGTACAAATGACTGCCACAAGGTCAGAATGACAAATCAACAGTGTCTGACATTGAGGAGCAGCTGTGCATGACACACACTCAAGCCTACATACAAGTGCACAACTGATCAACATGCAAAGCGTGACTCCTGCAACCCACCAGTGCAGATTCTAATCTCAAATTTGTGCAAATTAACACGGAAAGAGTTGGCATGTGATCAATGCACACACATAAAACACTCAAACATGTGCAAGTGTCTTACCAGGCAGGCCGAGACAGAGCAGGACGCTGTAGTAGATGACCGGCAGTGGTCCGAGGGGGCATCCCTGGGTAACCTCAGATGGATGCTGCCCTGGGCTCCAGGTGCTCCCATTAGAGGAAAAAGCAGGGAAAATGTGACTGTGCTCCATGGCCTCTTCCTCGTCCTCTTCTTCAGCTGAGCTCAGAGTCAAGAAATCGGCAGGCGGCACAAGCACAGTGCACGGTCGCCGGTTTGGGAGAGAGGGTGCTCTGTCCTTGGGTGCCAATCAGTATGAGTGTGTGTACACGCGTGAGACAGCAAGGTTGAGTGTGTGTGAAAAGAGGGAGGAATTGAAGAGATGGAGGAGGGAGCCGGGGGAGAGATGCCAGAGATGATATGTGTTAGTAGGTGATGGAGGGAAAAAAAAGAAAAGAGGCGAGAGGAGCAGACAGAGGGAGGCGCGAAGAGGTGAGTGTGAAGGTAGAAAAGTGGAGAGGATGGGGAGGATGCTGCCTGAGTGTGTGAGCGAGGGGGAATGAGAACCAGTCGAGAGCGCAGCAGAAGGAAGAGGAGGAGAAGGAGGAGGAGGAAGAGGAGAGGGAGGGAGGCAAGACGAGAGGAGAGAGGAAGGTAGACGGAGAGCAAGCGCAAGCACTGGAGAGCAGAAAGTGAGGGAGAGACTGATGTTGGTGGAGAGGAGGAGGATGAGGGAAGGTGCAGGGATGCTCAGAGGGAGATAAATTGGGGTGACATGTACCTGGGAACATGAAGAGGCAATAAAACTGATGAGAAGAGGTCATGAGACACACAAGGAGAAAGTGTTAAGACGACTGAGGAGAAGTAAAAAGTGTTTTGCCATTTTCCTCAATTTGTCTCCTAATTGTCCCTTTCTGCAAATTCACGGGTGGGTTTTAAACAATTTGCAATTTGCTAATCTGCAGATGAGTGTACATACATGTGAATCAACATGTGCATCCACCTGCTATTTTCATATCGTAAACATTACAGTATAAATACATGTGATTGGACACGTGTTGGTGTAGGTGTGTGTGTGTGTGTGTGTGTGTGTGAGAGTGTGTGTGTGAGAGTGGGGGTTGGGACTCAGTCTAATTTGCCATGCAGTGTGAACTGTCTGAATCTGCAGTGAAAATGTGTTAATGAGCTGAAGGCTGACACAAGATTCATCTTGAGAAAAACACCATACTGGTTTATTAAGCTGCAGCTGACAGTCATTTTTTGAATAGATTAATCTGCCTATTTGAATATAATATATCCTTCACTGTAGTCTGACAACTGTAATTTCTGATTTGAAGAACGCACTGAAATGTGGAGATCCTTGCGAGCAGAAGCATAACTCATGCAAATTAGCAAAAATCTAATTAATAGACTTTTCCACTATGTGATATGTTTATTCCTGGAACATTTGCAGCCACAGTGCATTGCTTTAGCAGCCTAATGAAAGCAACACAGAGTCAAACCTTTGGGGATTACACACACAATAACAGATTGGTGCTATGGGACCAGTGTAATAATTTACTCTTGCTTATCAGCAGAATGAAAACAAAGAATGAATGAGCCAGAAGTAATATCCGAAAGTTGCTTCTTTAGTCTGTTAAATGCCCAAAAAAGAAGGTATTCAGCTTTTAATGATCCAGTGGGGAGAGGTTAAAACGTGTATTTGGCAAAACACTTTATACAGCCAACTATTCAGAGTGTAATATCTCATATCTTAATGTTTTTTGGTCATATGAGTCAGTAAATGGACAAATACACAACTGTAAGGTGTTTTGGCTACAAAGCTAAACTGTTAACAATAAGGACGTCATACGGTATCTAATACATTATTTAAATGCAGCTTCTTTAACAAATCAAACGTCTGATGAGTAAAGTACAAGACAAATAAAGAATTGTGACAAGCGACAACCTCCAGTGTTGAAAAATGAAGCGAATACAGAAGTGCAAATAAAATAAAAACCTGCAGTTCCACTAGTGTATTTTTACAACAGAAATGAAGCTATGAGTTACCAAAGTGTGCTAACATTAGCCTGCTAACACAACAACACCACAATGCGGCCACAGGCAATTAGACAATTTTGTCCTCCGCTTGCGTATAAAGGTGCTTAATTATGGTGCGTTCTAATTCATAACTCGATTGCGAGTGGAGGCTTCAGAATAGCAGAGGTTTTGCCAAAAAGCAGTTTGTTTTGGTTTAATGCTGGTGCTCAAGGGCAACATCTACTGGATCAAAAAGGCGCACCTTCACCCTTTAAGGCCGTGGCTAATATGACTGGCAGATGGGTGCGTTGTAACTGTTTGCAGGAGGCTTCATGCCGCCTCAAATCCTCTTCTTTGTGCTTGATAGGTTGACTATATAATTTAACTTAATGGTTTCTTGAATTGTTATCAGAGAAAATGTATCTATTTTTTTTATTTTAACAATCTCAAAAGTAAAAATGCATACTTGTTAGTAGAGTTTAAGAAAATATAGCATGCAAGGTAACAAACAACTGACTGTCAATTTTGATTTGGAAGATATACAGTCGCTCCTTTTTCAATCAACCTCCTTAACTGCAACAGAAACAGGAGGATTGTTAAGTTAAGATTTATCAAAGTGAAATAAATTGAGGCTTCTATTTTTGCAGATTCACCCCAAAGTTTCAGGTCAGTGTTGTTGTTCTTTTATTTCTTAGGGGAGAGCAATTTTTTCCTGCAAAATGAATGGTTCCACTTTTGACACTTGAAGTACAATTTGTGCTTATTTCTGAAACATACTGACATTTTAAGAAGTGGGACATCTCGTGCTCCTGACCTTCTTTTTTTGATCCTTTTATCTTCCTCAGTACAGGAGCTGCTGTGAAGGCAGATATTATTCAGGAGCAACTTTCAAAAACATTAAATGTTTTGTGAATGCACCGTATGTCGCAAGAAGTACGGATGCACACTTTTAATTTATCTTACTTTTAGAGATTAACGAACCCCCTTCTGGCTTTCAGGAGTTGTTTATGTGCAGGGAGAAGACATCAGAGCAGCTTCTCATCATCTCGTCCATTCAGACAGCTGTGAGCTGTGTCTCTGCTCTCTCTGTGCTTCTTCAGCACAATCAGGGCCAATGCCACCTCTCCATAGGTCTGACAAACACAACAAACCTCTGCTGTTGGAGTGAGATGCAGTATATCATAAACAGGCAGCACTGTGGCTGTGAGGTTCAAAAAGATTGAAGCGATGTTTTACACAGAGAAACAGAGAAAGAAATGGGATTTTGATTTACTGCTCGTGGAAAGCAAAAGAGGATCACAAAAAGAGGAGCAGTACCATCTTCAAAGATGCTTGGAACTTCAGTTATGACCTCCAATCAGAAAGAGGGCACTGTATGAATGGAAGGATAATTTACACAAACGGTGAAATGATGGCTGACCTGTTTCTGCTGAATGCTTCCTGAATCCGATTCAGAATATGAGTGAGGGAAGGGGAGAGAAGTGGAAATCACGTGCTCTTAATTTCTCCTTCCTTTCTCCAACATGTGAACAAATGAGCTGCAGGGGACGCAGGGAAGGGGAGCACCACCATTAAGTGTTAAATAAAATATGGCCGGCTGACGGGAATTGATCACAGAGAAATGTGGGACAGAGGAAGGCGATTCTTCAAGAGCAGCGGGCGTAACTGTGAGAGACCCCCACAGGGGCAGTGGCTGCCTGCTCTCCAGTACTTAATACAACATCATCATTGGTCCTTGTCACGCAAACTCAATTACACTCAGTCTTTGATACAGGCGTGATTTTGTTGCTGTTTGCAGTCAGATTTAACGCAGGACAAAATGATACTGCTCATGTTGGCGTGTGATGCGACACTTCAACAGAACCAGACCAGAGGATGCAGGTTATGTGTTTGTATGTTTGTGTGTCATTTCAGTGTAGTGGTCCACTTGACCTCCTCACATGCTGCGGTGGTATATGAGTGTGTGGACGTGTGTTATTAACCAATTACATCATCATTTGACACATTGTCAGGGGACCTGGCACTGTCACATCCTCCGTGAACTGCACAATCACATGCAGACCTGCTCAAACGTGCAAAACCCGACACGTGTTATCGCCTCAGAATCCACAGAAGTGTTTGCAGCTTTGTATGACAAGGAGCACACTCGAGTCTTCAGGTGCAGGACACGTTTCAGCACTTCATCAACGCTGAAACGTGCCCGTTGTTGACCTGTAGGCATACGCTGCTGCACAAATGTTACAGGACATTAAGTGTGCTGACTTGTAAGCTTTATTTGTATGCCATGTTGATATTTGTGGGTAGTATCTAAGCAGAACAAATCTGATCTAAGTGGCTTTAAATTGTTTGATCTAGCAGCTTATAGTGATACTAGACATAACCTCTGGAAGTCACACAGTAAAAATAACTACAAACATTTGAAGAAGGCTAATAGCTACGCCACCAGCTAGCAATGAACAAACAATAGAGATATGGGAGGGGGGTGGGGGGCGCTTTTTAGGAGCTGTTATGTGTGGTCAGATTCCGCCATTCTCACCTGCAGTTGACTTTACCCCTCAGTACGCCCTTGCAGTGCTAACTATGAAAATGTTACAGTAACGCAGACGCTAGATGGTTTTGTAGTTTTGGTAGAGAAATTAGAAAATCGGAGAAGTGTAAATATTCTATGGGATATGTCCATAACTCTATACACAAACCGTCCTCAGAGGAAAATCTGGTCCCTGTAACACTGTATGAAGATAAAATGTTACGCGAGAAGTTATGGTAGGGGGTCCGTAACACATGAAACTGTAACTCTCCTGGTAGCTTTTAAGCTCTAAACATTGTTCCAGGGACCCAATTTTTCCTTTGGATAAAGTTTGTGTATTTAGTTCAGATAATATAGCATAGAACTGTTTCACTTCTCCAACCTTCAAAAAACTCCAAAGTGTAGTTTGTAGTTTGACTTACTTTGGCATTTTATCAAGCCAACACTCGCTAACCCAGGCGCACACAAAAACTATTACTGAGCAGAATTTCATGCCAATCCATCTTTGTGGACAAACTTTAAGGACTATCAAAAGGAAACGCATGCGCACAAATCCATCCCTTTAGTGGTCCTGCTACCACTGCCAAGAACTTAGAATAACATTATGTTAGCCTTTATTAAGAGATCAGTTTTTAAGACATGTTAAGTGATTTACATCAGCTGCAAAATAAAACAATAAAAAAGGGTTTTAACAGAGATAAAAGACTGTTAAAAGATCATTTTAACTGACATCAAATCAGGAAATGCTCTCTGATTCAAGGATGCTTTTAGAGATGATTAAAACGACATCACTGTCAGGTGACCTGATTTCCTCAGGCAGATCGTTCAAATCGTTCTCTGACCTCAAACACAAGTGAGTAATGAAAAGCCGATGAGGTACGTTTGAAGGAGAGTAATCAAGTCTCCAATATGGAGGGAGACCCGGGGATTTCGTCTGCAGCCTCTTACACAGTATCCATCACAGATTTGTCAAGTTTCAGGTGGCATTAATTATAGATGCCTTGTGTGATGGCAGGAGCTGTTTGTTTAGTGTGCCTGTAAAATTGGAGCCTGGATTTGAAGAGGAACAGGTCAATGAGGTGACACGCGAGTGCTGCACCTCTCTTTCCATTCTTCTCTCCCTCAGTTTTGGGCCGGCACTCAAAAAATAATGAGATGTGAGGGAAGAAACGGTGCAAGAGAGAGAGAGAGAATATCGGGAGGGAGATGTTGAATAAAACATCACTAAAAGACAGAGATGGATGGATGATTGGTTGAAGGAGAACCACTGCTGTTTGCTAGCGGCATACAGCTAATGAGTGTAAAATCCATATTGCACATGCATGTCCTCAACAACTTTGTATTTCACCTCGGACTACAAGCTCAAGGGAAATTATCACTATCTTTTTCATTTACACGTCTAGCTGCAGCTCTGCAGGTTGGGGCAGGCTCTCCCCACCCAGGGTGAATCCCCCCTGCACTGCACTGGGCTGTCCTGATATACTGCCCCGGTTCAGATCCAAAGACCAGCTGGTCTAGACAGGCTCTTATGATACCTCTGTTATTAGACTTGGGAAATTGAGACATTTAACACGGCTGCAGCTGAGACTAAAGCCCCACGGCCCCGTCTGCAAATTACATTGCTCTCACAAACAATCCCAATGAAACAAGGCCACGAAGGAGTGACTTTGAAAATCCTTTGATGGCCCAGTTTCAGCCGCTCTGTGAAAGTGTTTAATCACAATATACTAGAATCACAAAGTTTTACATAAAATATTCAACAACCCTAAATAGACGCTCATCACTCCTCGTGTGTGAGTTTTAAAATCGTCTAGCGTTTGGTTGTATATGATGTATAAAAACGTTTGTCTTTGTGCAACCTTCACAGCCTCTCTGCTCAGACACTCTCAACTGTTTCTTTTTCTGCTGTCCTCTTTGATTTATTTTTACTTGTCTGCTTTGGCCCATTTGTGTTTGCTGTTGTCTAAACTGTTGAGTGTTTGTTTGCAGTGAGGCCTCTCCCTTATTGATCACAGCAGAAAGCATCGCCTTTTTGTTTGACTCATTAATGAGAGGAGGTCTCAATTCCGATCACACTGCCAAAGGCGATAGAAGTTATACCATAATCTTTTTCTTTGGAATTCAAATCTGTGTATGGCTGGGTTTTCCAGAAACATATATTTCTGCACAAACATGCCGATTTATAAGAATAAATCCAGGCTTAAAAACTGATATTGTACTCATTATCACCTCCCCATTACAGGATACATTTTTTATTCATATTTGGATGTAAGTCATGACAATTTCAAAATAAGAGTGATCTGTTTAACTCTTATTAGTCAGACCTTTAGGGGCCTGAAGAGGATAAATAAAAAAAATCACAAAAAGCAGATACTTTAAAAAAGTAATTAAATTAAATGTTGGATTTCCTTCAATCACTGTTACCCTTCAGAATCTCTGTAGTGATGCTCAGGACAGAAACTATACTGCATGGGGGGATACAATGAGAAAACAGACTTGAAATAGACAATATGTGTAAAAACATGGACACACTGATTGAGTCCTCAATCCGGGTTGCAGCTTTACAGTCTATGGTTGCAGCCCACTTTAAAAATATTAAATATAAGGCATTTTAGAGACCCAAACAGAGAAAAATGAAATAAAATGCCTGTAAAAGGAGTTAAATGCTTCTTCAAATAGCTCGCCTTGTGAGTTTTTTTTTTTAATGCATTACGGTGCGTAAACTTGAGTATTTCACCCATTCGTCTTCTTTTACCACCTGTCTCTTTAAACTCGACTTTTATCTGACCTACAAACTCTTATTCTCCCTTTCTCTACTGGACCTGCAGGGTGACCATAACACACTGCCCAACCCAGTCACAGTCAGCTTTGTGTTACAGCGCACTCTGGTGGCTCCTCTCTATCATTACACCCACAGTACGCTGTTCAGTCTGTGTGTGCAGTGAGCAGCGCGCTTGGATTTGGTTATCATCTGTTAGTTTGGATTGACAGGCTTGTCTGCGGTGTGTGTCAGGACCAGGACCAGTCCGAATCTGTCCGGAGCGGTAGGTACCGAGCACCATCATGTTGTTGTTGTTGTTGTTGTTGTGTGGGACCGTTACTCGGAGGTGGTCAGATGAAGTGGCCCACCCTGAACACTGTGACGGATTTGTAGATATCTAAATGTAACTGTACTGGTTAAAACAGCAGCAGTGTGTAAAACAGCCTCATGATTATAACTTCAGCACTGAGTGTGTGTTACATTTATGTAGGCTCCTTCTTGTCTTTGTTACGTCATGAGCTAATGCTATCAGCTACACGGGCTCAGTGCGTCACGATAAAACACATTGTACTCTACTGAGGTGACCGTACAACACAGTGATAGTATCATCTTTATTCTGCGGGCTGTGTGTGTGTTTACAATGTTTAAACAGACGTAGAGAAGCGAAACAAGCTGGGAAAACTGCACCATCACTGATGATAAACACTATGACGTCATTTACTGAACCTTAATTCAATAAAGAAGCAGAATCAGCTGTTACACCGTTATGTGTGTCAGGTATAGTCATTTATTTCACTAATATATAAAGGCTATTATTATTTTTTATTTATTTTGTATTTCAGTTTCACATATTGTATTGTAAAGTCAGCCAAGTCTGTGTTTTAGACAAAAAAAAGACAGCTTTCTCTGCAAAAGATTTAGAATAAGTCTACTGTCTTAGACCTTTAAAGTAACCTACATAATACTTAGATCGTATGCAGGAAGGAAGACCCTGAAGAGGCTTAAAGGTCATCGAAAATCAGGGTGCAGATACCCTAGTGGTTGGTGCTTACACCCTATGTACAGAGGCTTGCCTTCCAAGCGGGCGGCTCCTTTCCTGCATGTCATTCCCCACTCTCTCTCTCTCTCGCTCTCTCTCTCTCTCTCTCTCTCTTTTCCTGATTTCTGACTATATCTTCTGTCCTATCTCTAAATAAAGGAATAATAATCCCCAACTTATACCTTTAAAAAAAAGTTGTGATAAAATACATCCTGAAGCGCACTGGTATCCACTCTAAAGAAGCTAAAACAGACGTAATGTGATCTTGTTCTTGGGTCTGGTTAAAAGCCTGACAGCTAAATTCTGCACAGTCTGTAATCGATCAATACATTTGTGTTTCAGGCGAGTGAGAAGCTTGTTGCAGTAATCCAGGCATGATGAGATGACCTTATAAAACATTGAAGAATATTGATTTTTCTCTCAGCCTCGTATCGGTCGACATCTCATTGTCTTCCCGTGCGTCATGCCTGTAATCTGTTTGTCTTGTTTGCAGGACTTCAGGTTGAGCCCTTCTGCACCGACAGCTTCACTGAGTTCAGACTTCAGCGCCACCATGAGCTCGTCCACCGCTCTGCTGTGTCTGCTGGCCGGGGCTGTAGCCGCCATTCAGAACCCACATCCAGGTGAGAGGAGTAAAGTGTCAGCTGAGGAAAGAGAAAGGTTAAAGGAGGTTAAGATGGCAGCATACTGAGTGTGACATGGAAGAGTTTCTCCTGGGTTTAAGGTGATGGTTTTCTAGATCCTGCATGTGAAAGCATGTTTGTTTATTTCTGTCTGGACCATACCATACCAGACCATTACCCATGTTATTTTATAAGGAACAGTTGGGTTTCAATATGCCTGGCAGTTTTTATCTGTGAGGAGTTTAAACCTGCTTACTTAACAGACCAACATTAATAGCAAAGTAGAAGGAATCACTTGTGCTTCAGCCCCTCTACAGATGGAGGTCAGTTCTCTTAGAGAAGGACCTTAGAGGCTAAAAAGATGATACAATAGATTTCTTCACACAGGTAGAGTACTGGAGCACACGAACAACTTAAGGCAATTTATAAGGTTTTATTAAAATTAAGAGTTGACGCCCACTGCTTCTTCCTCAAAGTCAAACCACCTGACTCTGAGGTAGACGCAATACACGTCCAAACGTTAGATAATAAATTGTAAAGTGATTCATGTGCTCCAGTATTTTCTTTGGATTCCACCTGCATGAAGGAATCCATTAAAACATCTTTTCAGGACCAAAGTTAATATTGATGCCCTTTATGACCTTAAACATCAAATAGGACCATCAGTGATGAGACTGAAATATTTGAATGTTATTTTTAATGCTTGTTATCACTGCCATCTGGTGGGTGTCAGACTAAATTAGTTACAGGACGCTGTAAAAAAAAAAAAGCCTTTTACTTTTACCACAGCAAAGATTGACAGTGAGTGACACGACTGACTGTTAAAAGGCAGCAGGAGGAGATCATTTATTTGAAAACACTACTGATGCATGTTATGGAACTGGATCAGAGGAGATAAGAGGTATGACTTTATCAAGAGGAAGCACCAAAATCAACACAAACCAATTCTTCCTTACAGGAGCTTTAACTTCCTTATTTATTAATTCAACTTCCCGTTTGGGACGTCAACGCAGCATTCATTTCTGAAGCAATAAATCTGCAGATTGTTTTCTTTTTTAATTTCTTTATAAACTTGATGTTAACAGGAATAGGTCTCTTGAGATTTACAATCTATTTTAGACATTGAGAAAAGTAAAAGACGTCTCCTTAACTGGTCAAATACTGAACAAATAACAAATGTGTGTTGACTGTAGTTGCCATTAGCAGGCAGCCTTATCTGTGTTGTCAAAAAGGTTCCTCCGTGTTTCAGCCTAAACTGAGACCTTCACTGTTCCTTCAGTGTTTTTGGACAAGCAGCAGGCGAGCACACTGATCTCCCGTCAGAAGAGGAACGTGGACGGCAGTAAGCCAGCTCAGCCTGCGAGCCTGGAGCAGATGTGCATGGAGAAAGTGTGCACCTACGAGCAGGCCAGGAGTGTGTTCCAGGACTCGTACCGCACGGTGAGCTCCGGGATTCTTACTCTCTCATCCTCACTTCTGTGTACCTCGAACAGCCTCAGTTTTACCTTCTTTGCTTCCTCTGTTTCATGGATGCACTTTGAATCTAATGCTTCAATTTTTGCACTTATCCTCAACATTTTCTCTTGCAGGATATCTTCTGGTCCGTCTACATCGGTGAGTGCTGTGTTCAAATGATTTCCCATCTCTGCACAGCCATTATAAGTAAATGACATCCTCTCATGGATTTTCTGAATGTGTTTAGACGGAGACCAGTGTGCAGAGAAGCCCTGCAAGAATGGAGCCTTGTGTTCGGACAGCGTTGGAGGCTACGACTGCGTCTGCAAGTCCGGTTTCTCAGGAGTCCACTGTGAAAAAGGTGAGGAAGAGATGTCGGGGTTTCTGCTTTGTCTTTAAGATCACTGGAGTGGTGGTGGTGTCGATGCTGCATATTAAAGCTTAAAGTTTTGTTTTGTTTTTTAGCCGTTAGGGCAGAGGTCACATCTTCTATTTTGAATATAAGAAGAATTATGATTTGAAATATGCTGGAAATGTTTTTATTTTAACTTCCTTATTTATTGATTCAAGTGTGTGTTATTTACTTCTCATTTGGTATATGAGCACTAAAGACTTCCCCTTCTGTTTCCTCGCTGCAGACCAGACTCTGTGCTCCCTGGCAAAGAACGAGGGCTGCTCCCAGTTCTGTAAACCAGGCTACACATCCTACGAGTGCTCCTGTGCACGAGGATGGAGGCTCAGCTCCTCGGACAGGAACAAGTGTGAGCCTGCAGGTATGTCTGTCATGTCTATGTGTGATCAGATTTCAATTTCAACTAATTTTCTGCCACAGCATACATACCTGCTCTGTAATTCAAGAGAGAGCACAATGGATACATTTAAACATCGAATGTTTGATCCCTTGAAATGCCCTTTCTTCGCACTCTAGGTAGATAGAGATCTGATTTCAAATCTTTGCATTCAAGGAGCAAAATGCAACTCTGACACATAGTGTTTAAAATGGGTACTGCAGTCCAAATTGAAAACATTGTAGAGATCTGTCTCCCCCGGCCCCCTCCTCTCTAGAGTCCATGCTCACGCAGGTTGCCTTGTCACAGACGCTGAAGCTTCAGTGTTTATCCAGCTCTGCATGGGTCTGTAAACCTTTCTGTGTTCTAACCTCTCTCCATCTTTCAAAAGCATCTCCAGTTTTTATCCTAGTTTTTTTTTCTGCACATGGAGCTTATTAGAAACTTGCCGAGGCTTTTTAGGTCAGGTAGACTCACTTCTATCTGAACCAGTTCTCTCGCCCGCTTCCATCGCTGCATCACCTGTTGGTATGCCATTTTCCAGGCAAACCTAGGGGCGTCCGAAACGTTGGATTGGAGTGCCTTAAGACCGCCTTCCTTCTCTGGTCAAAAGAAATCCAGACCATTCAGGACCAGAATCTAAACTTAGGAGGACATACTGGCTGCTGCATTGTTGTCAGAGAAGCCAACGATTCAACATAGCATGTTTCTTTAATGTCTGATGATGCAATTTTTGTGATTTTATTCAGTAGATATCTTACATATTACTACTTTAAGGAGCTTATATAAGGCCATCCCCTGATGAGGCAACATTTGTATGTTTTTGTGCTGAATGTGTGCAGTGCTAAGTGGGGTCAACCACACATTCTTTGTTATTATATCGGCCAAATAATGTTCATCAAAGTTTAAATCCAGTGAAGTCAAATTAGATTTGCTTTGCCTCTGGAAGCGAATGTTCTATGTTAATGTTTATTTTACATACAGTACATGCATGAATGCCCCAAAGCAATGATGTCAGAATTATACAAAGGCAGAGCAGTCACACTGAGCCATACAGCGGCCTTTTACACCAAACAAACCACATTAGCCTTATCGCTTTGTCTCCATACACACATGAGCAAACTGACTTTCCTGCACTGCTGCTTGTTGAACATGCTTAGCCCCAGCTCTTTTGTGAAATGATAAAAAAGGAGTGTGTGGATAAAATAATATTTCATCCACTCACAAAAAACAAACAAACCTTTTCCATGATGTATCCCTGTTAGCAATAAAAAATGAAGATCACTTACTGGATATGTGGAAAGGGAACAGAAAAGGCAATTTTAGAAATGCTGCTTGGCCTTGTTATTTTTTTTGTCTACAGGGATGATTAGCTTATTGCGAAAACAAAATAAGTCACTCACATCTTAAGTTGCACACAAGTCTCTGTTTTGTCTCGTTCTTGCTTCAAAGTCTGTTCCTCTTCCAAGTGAAGGTTGTCAAATTATCTGATCCTTTTTGATACCACATGACTTATGCAGCTGTAGGTCTACTCTCATTTGTGCATGTCTAATTTTACAGATGTTTTTAAATTGTACATAGTTTTCAGTACATTGTACATAGGGTTTCTATTCTTATTCCTGCACTGGTTATTTACATTTTCTTGGTATGGGTTTGATCTTTTATTGTACAGGTTTAATTTTGACTGTGTAGGAGTTTCTTTAAATCTCTGTTCGGGTTTATATATACCTATGTAGAGGGAGGACAGTGGGTGTTGGGTGTAACAAATGTATCATGTCATGCTTTATGTTCTTCTGACTGATAAAGGGGTTGACTAACTGTGGTATCAGATGCACTTTAACTAACGAGTGAACATAATCTCACATCGTCCCCTCAGTGAAAAACCCCTGTGGTAAGGTGAAGAGTCTGAGCCGCTGGACTACCAGACAGGAGACCAACATTGGCAGCAACTATGAAGGACTTACCTGTACTTCCACAGAGTGTCCCTGGCAGGTATGCACACACACTCACACTGTGTCTCATTAAAATAAACTTGTTTCGTATCTGAAGTCCTTATAACCAGGATTCAGGGTTTTATTGCTACACTTTAGTGAGGTGCATTGTTTTTTTTTTTAGGCCCTCCTGAAGAGTACAGAGTCTGCAGGTTTCTGTAGCGGAGTCATTTTGAAGGAGAACCTGGTCCTGACTTCAGCTCAGTGTGCAAATAAATACAGATCTTTCCAGGTGGCTGTAGGTGAGTAGATGAAACACACAATTATTCCTTTTTTAATTGTTAAGAAATTGATTAAAATGAATAGTGTTGCTACATTATGACCTATAAAAGCAGACAAGACCATCAGGGACAAGTCTGTTAACTTGTACATAGTTATTTTTAATCCCTCTAACGACTGCTGTAGGTGTCAGACGCAAACATTTACAGCACGCTGAAGAAACAGCCTTTTTTGACATTTTCCTCAGCAAATAATCACAACCAGTGAAACTCGGACTGTTCAAAGAACTAAAAGGAGACTTTATGTCCTAACTACTGTACCTACACAGGACAAGACCAGTGAAGAAATTAGATGTGCCGTTTGGTCCACAGAGGGCGCCAGAATCACCACAAATCAAAATTTCTCACACAAGCTTTAAATGAACACGGCTACATCTACAGAAAAATAGCCATGAAATTAAATAATGCACATGTGAAATGTTTAAGAGCCAAACACTTTAAAAACAGATGATGTATTTATGAACAAAATGTAAAACTCCACAAGATACAACAACGTAGCTTCACATTGCATGTAAATGTATACGGAAAACGCTTGAGTGACATTCAAATAAGCATTTAGTACAGTATGTTATAGCATACTTTGTTTCTATAATCCCATTCAAACAACTTTTACAAGCAAGGGGATGATCGGGCCGTCCCGTCTATGTAAACACGATGTAAATACGGCTCAGACATCATCACAGACAGCAGGACTCGTGCGGCACACTTGTTGTAGACAGTCATGACTCACAGAGATATTTACAGAGGATATACTTGATTTCTGCTGGATTTATGAGTAAAATGTCGCACATTCTGTCTTTCACACTCAAGTTAATTTTAGATAGAGAAAAAATATTTCTCATTTAATCAAAGAGCCAGGCCAGCACTTATTTGTATTGATCCAAAAAGGTTCACTTTAGAGAAACCGAGCTACGCTTCGATCCAATTTTAGTTGACTTTTTGAAACATATCTAATCTATAAACTGGATTATTTCTAATTGAAAAAGGTGCATTTTATGTATGTGACCACATTATATGAGTTTAAAATGTTGACAAATGATCACAGGTGATGTAGGACTTTTGGATATCTCTGAATCTAAAAATTATTTTCATTATAAAATTATTTTTCTATTTAATCGATGCAACTTTTTCTTGAAATGTCTGGAAACATTTTTGCTTTAGTACCAAAGGATTATGCAATTATCAAAATAGTTCAATAGTCCTATTCACTTAATCGGCTTATTAATTAATGAACTATTAATTGAAGCTGTGAATGTCACTTTGTGTGCGTGAGCCTGAGAAACATCTTCATCCTGAATGTCCTGTCTTACCTGCACCTCTTTAGGCAAGCGCAGCAGTGACTATGAAAACGGAGAGCAGACGCTGTACGTACACTTGATTCATGTCCACCCACGCTACGTGGAAGGTCGCCCTGAAAATGACCTGGCCTTGATCGAACTGCGTGACCGCATCCAGTTTAAGGATCAGGTGGTGGCAGCATGTCTTCCAGAGAGAGACTTTGCTGAGAGCATCCTAATGGGGAGAGAACACGTGGCCCTGGTCACTGGATGGAGAGAAACCAAGGACACGCCCGCTTTCCAGAGCCCGCTCACCCTAAATCATCTGGATTACAAGCCCCTCCCTCAATGTCTGGAGACTCACGGCAAACTGATGACCAACAAAATGGGCTGCACCATTCCCCGGACCAACGCCGACTGCACCATGAGCTCCGGCAGCCCCCTGCTCACCCTGTACAAGGACGTGTTCTTCCTCACCGGGGTGGTCAGCCAGCCGCCGGGGGCCGACTGCAGCAGAGGCTACATCTTCCAGAAAGTGTCACGCCATCTGGGCTGGCTGCGGCCGCTCATGGGCTCACGTTAGGGGGAGAAGACGGGACGACTTTGTGAGGTTACTGGTTATGGAAAATAAGTGATAATGCGGGGGTATTATAATAACTCACACAGGGAATCAGAACATTTTCATTGTGCACTTTTAGTTCATTCTTTTGTCTTTTAACATCATCCTTCTGATGAAAAGCTATTCTAGCAAACATATAAGTGACTGCTTGTCTGTATCTGTGGACTTCCGCATCAATCCACAAGGTGGCTCTCTATTAACATAAACACAGAGAAGCTCTTCCTGTACGTATTTAGCAGCCTCAGAGTAAGAGTCAGTAATGGATGCAGTGTATTATTTAGCATGTGATTTGTGACGTGGACTTGCCTTTTAATTACCTTTAAGTGATGCTATTTGAAGTGACTGTACTGTTTGACATGCACCTTGTAACACTCAGTTTATCACTGTTCTATAAATGTAATAAAACCTAACACCACACATCGCGCTGAGCTGTCCTTGTTTTAGAACGAGTCAGACTGAAGTCTTTCTGGGAGGCTGGGAGGGAAAACAGTGTGTGAATATAGTTTAAAATAGTATAACATATTATAAACAGAAGTCACGAGGCTCATGTTATTTAAAACTATAACCATAAAGGGTAGAACATTTTTGTCTTGGTATGTTTTCAACTGACACAAAATAACAGATCATACATTGATATGTTGTTACTGCATCAGAGCGCTGTGAAGTCAGGTTAACTTCCCATTTGGACAATCAAGTTCATCTTATACAGATTTATTTGTAGGTGCTTTTCCTTAACTCTACATTTTGCGTACTCAAATTCAAAAGCTTCAGCTGTATAAAACGAACAAGATAAGATGAGTGAACATCTGATAAACTAAGAAAAGTTTATAGTGATTAAAAAATGGAACAATGGGGCTTCAAATGTTCACAAAAACAAGTGTAGCATTCTGCAGCTCTGAGAGACAGAGCAGTGCTTTGAACTGATGCCGAAGTCACAGTGTGTATGTGCTAACTGTGAAAGATGCTGACATGCTAATGTAAGAAGTAGGACTATTACCATGTTCGTATCTTTAGCGTTTAAATCTATCAGTTTTATTTCTATAGCACAGAATTTGTTAATTTACTAATGATTATCATACAGAAGAGGGTGGAGGGAGGGTCATTAGTTAGATGATAGCGCTGTATGAGGAGTTAAGTGATTCTTAAACGTAACTCAAATGAGAGCATAAATTAAACGATTTACACAACAATCCATCAGGTAGAGTTTAAGAAGATATCACGACTGGTCTGAAAACTGAAGATGTGCAAAAGACCCGGAAGTGTCATCAACACCAAGGTTTAAATGCCTGTTTTGACATTCCATGTTTACAGCCTGGTACAGTTTGGGTCTGAATAGCTCATTTCTGTATGGATTTGAATGTTTTTTATTTTGGCTATGAATGCATAATAAGGGGCCTGGATAGTCCGACATTCATACATTGAAGCATTGAAGCTGTTTGCCAGGAGGCTAAAAGACCGACTCAGCTCCATCACTTTGACTTTGACAAGCAAGGTTTAAGATCTTGAGACAGCTTTACCAATATCACGACCGCCATAATTGGGCTTCAAAACTATACTTTAGAAACCAATGGGTAACGTCACTCAGACTACATCCATATTTGTCTATTAGTGGCTCTTCAGAAAAGTTCATAGGTCTTGAAAGTCTGAAGGCTTTTAACTCGGGGGAAACATTAAACAAACATGCAAATGTTAATGGCAACCTAGGAATAGTAATTCAGTCCAGAGTAAAGTGGCCAACCATCTCATAGACACACACATCGGCAGTGGCATCTCTAGGGCAACATGCTGATAGGAAGTAAATATAGTCATGAAACACAGGGGTAAATACAGTGCAAACAGGAAAAAGTGCTTGAAGTAAGCCTCAAAGTATTGATCACATGAAAAGCAATGAAAGAAGTTCTATATTTGGGAAAAGTTTTTCCATTTCATTTAAGCCCCTCTGAGGAGTTTTTAACTGGTTATGAAACAGACTGAAGTTTATGCTCATGCCGGTTTTATGACCTACAAAAGTAAATTAAACCATCAGGGCAGAAGATTGATTATTTCTATAATGTTATTTTAATGTGTGTAAACTCAGGGTCGGTGTCAGACCGGATCATTTACAGCAGGAAGAAGCAACAGTAACCTTTTTTTTTTTTTCACATTTTCCCCAGCAAAGAATTACAGTGAGTGATACGTTTGTCAGTCAAAAGACAGCAGGAGACGATTTTTCTTAGTGAGAAAAAACCCTATACGCAGGCAGAGGTCAATCCCAGCCAAATGTAAAGACTTGTGGCTTTGTCCACCAGAAATGCAACAAATGTTTGATTTTTGTCTCAACTTTATCGAGGGTTAATACATGCACATCTCGAATTCCTGATGCATCATTGGCATCGAATGACAAGACCAGAGCTCTGAATAACTGCTAGTCGTATATTCCCTTTTTTGTCCCAGGCTGTATTAGCTTGCCCTCTCTGTCACATACCCCTGTGTTGTCTGGCAACATTTTCCCACAGACACTCGCCCTCTGCAGTCTTCTCACAGCCTCCCCTGTGAACAAGGCCAGGACCATGTCATGCGGGGAGAGAAAAGAAGAGGCGAGTAAGAGACGCCGCCTAACAAAAAACCTGGCCTGCCACTTTTGATCGGGCGCTTGAAAAGGACAGCTCGGAAAGCTGGGGCCCATGTTGGCTGTTACCATGGTGCTCACCTAGGAGATGGCTCCTTGCTCCCAAAAATGGCTCTGCTCCTTTTTCTGGGCCATCCAGTGGAGATTAATTTGAGTGGAGCTCCTTCCTTCCTGGGTCTGGACCTGCTCTCGGGGTCCTGCCAGCTCCTTTTATATGCCCAAGCTTACATAAACACAGAGACGCATAAAAAACACACGCACCGAGCCAGGTAGCAGCTAAACTTTATGTGCACTGAGCTGCCTAATTCATGACTTTTTCAAGTCCCGTTCAAAGGAGCACTTAGATATCAAACAGCTACTGCATCTGTGTGATTGTATTCCCTGATTCAAACCTAAAATCTGAGCAAAGAGGACGTGATGTGAATGTTGAGGGGGGGAAGGGGTAAAAGGGGGCAGAGTGAGGGATGTTTGACAGGCTGAAAAAGCACAGAGCTGAGATGAAGAGATGGAAAATTGTTTATAGATGAAGAGCAGGGACAGACCAAGAGACATAATGACGCAGGGAAGCCATCAGTCATTGTGTGGACGGATCGATGGTCTTTAAGTATATCAGACATGAATGAAAAGGCTTCAGAGAGAAACATTAGGAAGGATATTACTGATGGAGGGAAGTGAAAGCACTCTAAGCCAAAGGGCTCCACTTTTTATTAAATGTTGATACTCTTGGACAACATCTCTGTGTGTTGAAATGACTGAATTCAAGCACAATGTGTCGGGCATGTGGCTACATCTGGCTAGTGTCCTACTAATTCAATAATCCTTTACTTTCCCCCAAAAACAGTAGCAAGCTGTGAATACAAATCCTCCCCGCCTTGTCTGTATGTGTGTTCGTACACATGCAAAGCATATACATGCTTATTTGTGTCTTGTGATTTGGGGGTCAGAGACATCAAATGACAGACTTTTGGGGGGGGATTATCTGTCTGTGTGGTGTCTGATTCCACACAGGGGAGTTAGTAGTAGGTCAAAGGCAGCCTGACTGAGTTAAAGTGAAGTAAAAGCTGCTGCCTGATCTGTGAAGGCATGTCTATGATCTCGTCCAATAATCCCGCTTGTAACAAATAAAATCCGTGCCCCCGGTTTTTCCTCCCTCTAGGACTCCACAAACACAGGAGGGGGGGGGGAGTCTGCAGTCAGATTGGGTGGCAAATACACTCCCTGCTCCCACCCCACCCCGACTCAAACTCTGCCCCATGCCAGACAGAGGAGCTTCCACTCGGTTGGGTAATTGTGCAGCAGGGTGAAAGTAACACAGGCCCTCCAGAGGTTAGAGGCAGGGCTGTGATGAAGTGACTGAAACAGGGAGGGGGGGGGGGGGGACAGGCTGTGAATTTTTATATAACTCTGCTATAGTTGCATTATTTACTGTTTTTAGTTGTTTTAAAAGAACAAGGTTGTGTCTAAACTCATTTACTCATTCATTACACGCCCTTCTCGTTACACAGAGGGTTCTGCATACAGGACTGTACAGAGAGCTCAGAGGCTAAATGTACTAATAGCCTTGAAATTCAAAATACACAAATGGCACTGTTATGTTTATTACTGTAGAGATTTTTTTGGGGTCGTACTTTGAAATGTTGTAATTTGTTGAATATTACTTCAGGATGTTGTCGAATATTTCCTAGTCTTATTTTCCCTTTTGGTTTATATTGGTGTGAGGTTTTTCTTAATTTCTCTATTTGAGTATATTTGTGTTTAATTGCTCATTGAGTAGTGTCTTGTTCTTGTCATATCCTTCCACAATATGTCTCCTCCTCTGTGTAGTATACAAGCAAGAAAGGGTTAGAGACAATGGAGGGAAAAAAGAAAAAAAAAACACTTTTGGACCTCATTATTCTAATTTCTATTAAATGTTAGATACGTCAACTCTGTTTCTCCTTTGGCACAAGATGTTACAGTGAATATTACTCCGATAGTGTCCTCTATGTGTTGTGGACAGTGGTGGACAAAGACCTCAATTTCTAAACTAAAATGGCATCCATTCTGCTAAATAACTTAACACTGCTGCAAATATTTTGTATTCGAGGTAACTATAGAAAAGGCATGTCCCCTAACGCCTAATTTGATCTGACTTCAGGGTACTCCTCTCCATGTTTTATGTACTAGGTGACATCCTTTATCCGTCTCTGCCCTTGAGTCTGGCTTTACAAACAATATGTCACTTTCAGCACGCAGACACTGTGATAGAGGAGGAAGGTAAATCCTGGAGCTGCCTTTATTCCACTGACCTCACCCTGACCTTCCAGGGTTTAAATCCTGTCCAGAGCCACGGAGAAACCCGAGGAGCGGACAGAAAGGTCTCCAAGGCTCACTGAACGAATGAAAACAAGTGTGTCACGCTCCATGTGCCGCTCTTTGAAGTGGTCACGTAAGACCTCTCTGTTTTTTGAGCAAGAAATGAACACATGCGAGTTTCTGTGTCCTGTTCTCCAGATACAGAACATGCTAATCCACGTACAGCTCATTTTAAAAGTTGGCCTAACAATGTCACGTTCACATGACCATTAATAACTACCCTCCTTCTGTGCGGCTACTTCAAAAGGTCCTGACCTCTGCAGGCTTCTTTAGTATTTTGAGCGTCCTGTGACAGCCCGAGGGTTTAAACCACCGTGCTGAGGTCAGGATTATATAAACATATTATCTTCAATACGTGAGTGAGCAGGACAGCATGCTTCTCTGAACATTCAAGACATATTAAAGACATTATTATAGCCATGTAGACAACTCAACAGCAATGTTTCTCAGTGTCAAACATTCCTGTTTCCCAGCTCAGTATTTGAATGACTTACAACTGAGAAAAAAGGGACATGAATAATCAATGTTTGTGTTTGAGGAGATGGAAGTAGAGCATTAGGGAAACATGAGAATCGACCAAATCAAAGCAACATAAACCACAACTTAGCTTTTAATCGCCACGGTCTTGAAAATAACACATATTTTCTAAAAGTAATTTTAAAAAATCAACCGTTGTTTTCACAGCAAAAAAATCTAAGCAAGTATATTGTCTAATAATCAAAAATACCTCATTGCCTGACAAGAAGCAATAAAAATCTTATTTCAAGATATTAAACTCAAAAATAAGGATTTCATTGCTTGTAAAGAGTACAAATATCTGCCAGTGGGGCAGGTAAATTAGTAGATGTGTAATGAGATATTTTTGAAAAGAAATTAGACAAATGCAACTGCTTAGATTTGAGTTTTTGCAGCGTAAAGTGTTTAGAAGCCTTCAGTTGCATTTTGGTTGTTGTCAACTTTTTTTTATTGGTGTAATGAGTGACCTTATCTGGATCTGAGGATGCATTTATGTCACTACCCGCACCATGGTACTATCATGTAACAGGCTGAATGTATCATCTTTATCATCTTCTTTTGTCTAAAATAGACTGTAATTAAAAAAACAAGAGTACTGTGTTGGATAAAACTTGAAACTATCGTGAATGAGACCATAAACTTATAAGGAAAACGTTTAAAGATGTAATCAGTCAAATGAGAATTATATTGTGTATATAATGATGTATATATTTGAACTTTTCTCTTAGGTGCAATATCTTAAATGAACATGTGTGTCTTGACTTTATGAGTGAATGTGGCTAACATGAAGGTTTATGAGATATTTACAATAAGAAATGAGACAAATACATTTGGTTTTTTGCACTCTTGGGAAAGAATATTGTCAGAAAAACTGTATTTATGATTATTAAATGAAAATGTCTTGATACATTTCACAATATATATTTTATCTTCCATCAAAACAGCCACACGAGCCCACGCCATCTCTTCTACTCCTGTAGGATACGTTGCAGTCTGTTCAAATTGGGATGTGTGTCTGGAAACAAAGTTGTCTTTAAAATTAGTCTCCCTTCCTGCTCATTTTTAGACACCTGCATCCTGTCATAGTGAACACATCCTGTGAGGTCGTGGGCTCTCATCCTGATGCTTGTCACTGGAAACAGATGCAGCATGTGGTCTGTCACTTCTGTGCTCCATTGTGTGGAGACAAGCAGAGGTCTTCATAAGGTGAAACAACCTCCGGGCAGCGGGCGGGCATGTGATGAGGGGGAAGGATGAGACGGAGGAAGAAAGAACACAAAACGATGTGCTGGTTGCAGATTTTGGAGAGAGAATTTGGAGGTTTTCTCTCAGGGAAAGAGATGAAGCATAGAAGACAAATAAAGTGGGATAACCATTTTACTTCTAAACCAACAAGACAAGCTGCAGAAACACAGCAATGTTTCCCACTGAGGGACAGGATATCTATTGAATACAAAAGAGACATTTATATGTGTGTGTTGCAAAGATTCCTTTAAAACAGGACGACGACATCTGAAGGCCTGAATGTGGAGGGAAGGTCATTCCTAAGAATAATATCGGAGAATATCTGTCGCTCGCTTGCTGTTTTTCTCTGTAGACCGTGTGACAGTCAGGAGACCTTTTTACAACATCATCAAAAACACTTCACGAGGGGTAAAGCAAGGGGACATTGGTCAAGGGTGATGTTGTAAAAGATGGCATTATAAAAAAAATAAAAATGAACCAGTTGTTGTGAAGTCCCTTAGCATTCCTGAGATGTGAAATTTACAGGAACAGAAAGGACATTCAAACTTTTGAATGTTGACCTTTTTTCCTTTTTGGGCTTGTATTGTAGAGACAGGACAGTGGACAGAGCCGGAAATCAGGGAGAGAGAGATTGTGGAACAACATGCGCAAAAAGAGCCACAGGTCGGATCCAAACCCGGGCCGCCGGCTTGGAGGACTTCAGCCTACGCACCACTACGCCACCGGCCCCCGACTGTTGACCTTCAACCATTAAATCTTTATCAGATCATCTTTCCTTGTGGGATGACTATGGCCAGTGGTTTAAAGACGCTCATCACTGGTTCTAAAGTGAAAGTTTTGTCCAACGACTATTTGAAGACAAATAAATATGAAGCAAGAAGAGTCCTTCAGCCCGCCTCCACCGCCTTTTACCCATATCTAGATAAGCTGAAAGTTGGCTGGATTCAGTATTTCAAAACGATGACATCGTTGGGCTTCATAATGCCTCTTCAGAAACCAATGGGTGACTTCACTGAGACTACGTCCATGTTTGATACACTCTATGGTCTGTACATACACTGAAACATACACACACTAATCCAAGAGGAAACATGACAGACTGACTCTGTTGTTCCTGTAAACATGACACCATGAGAGCATGTGCTCTTCTCATTTAAGGACAATACCTCAGCAGGCAGAGCCAAAGTTAGCCTGCTGCCTGTCTGCAAAGCTATATGAGTCAGAGACTGAGCTCCACACATGATCATACGGATACACAGTCACCTCCTCACCTTCTATTAATAAACAGGAGTTCTCCACAGATAACAGCACAACATTTGTCCATACAACGTTTCAGTCTAAAAGATATACCTGATTAAGGTCGGTTAGACCGAAACGTTGTGTGATCTAACAAATATGTCTGCATAAAGTGAGACAGTTTGCGGGAGTATTACTCATTATTCAAAAATAATCGTTACAAATTCCAGTCACTGCAAGTCGCAATAATACATCTTATCGCTCTTTCTTTTTATTGATCAGAGTTTACAGGGGTGTCTGTTAAATAGAGTGAAAATAACTAAAAAATAATGGTACGTAATAGGTTTGGGAGGTGATGGTAGGCAGATATTCTATTTGGACTTCCCCTCTGCTTCCAGGCTTTGTGCTAAGCTAACAGTCTTTTGGTTACAGCAGCCTATTTAACCACAAACACAAGCCAGTGCTATTGATCCACTTATCTGCTCTTATCGCTCAGCTGGAAAGGAAAAATGCCCCCTCTAAAATCTCAACTTGTTTCTTCAAATAAAGCAGAGTTATGTGACCATGCAGAAGGATTTATCTCTCACACAACAAAACACACTCCACAGAATGGATCTAGTTTATCTTATTTACAGATCTTAAATACTCCATTGACCTCCACTTGTGCGGAATTTAAATGAGATGTTCTTCCCAATCCACTTATTGTAATTAGTTCTGTGTGCTAGTGTAACAATTACCTTTACTGCACACAATCTCTGCACTGCTAATAACAAAAACGAGGAGAATAACGATATTGCTGATGTACTGCCTGAGCCTGTCAGCTGATAAAGTGAGGGACCCATTAATCTCCTCAATCATCCCGTTAGGAGCTGTGACCCCCTCCTTCTCTTACTCTCCCTCCTCCCCCTCTTCCCATGCTGTCACTCTCCCGGGCTGCACCTGTCAGATTAGTCTCACATCCTCAGCTGCCACTCCATATGATACGCCTCCTTACTGCCTGCATGTCAGCTCACTTTGCATGTGTTTATGCCTTTAAGTGTGTGAAAGAGAGAGTCGGGGGGGGTAACAATCCCAATGCAGAATGTGTGGGTGAGTAAAATGTGAGTGTGTCTGGTTGTAGGTTTCAAGGGTCTCCCTCATGCCACAGCAGGATTTGGCTTGGTACCATTAATATGCATAAAATAAAGTTGAGATTAAAACCCCTAACCCATATACATCACTTAAGATGTGCTCCAGAAGGGTAGGATAAATCTATATTATTTTGCATCAACAGCATAACCTGGTTTTTTTTTTAGAGCAAGTTCAAAATGATGACAACACTGCCACAAAGCACTTCCACTGGCTCCCACACCATGCACCAGGAGAAAGACAGGATGGATGTATGCCTGTATGTACCGGGTGGGGGGGGGGGGGGGTGAGGTAGTGGGGGTAGTGGGGGTAGAAGGAGCTCCACCAATGAAAGACCCCCTCTCCCCCCCCCCCGCAGACGGACTGGAGCAGCTGAGGCGACAAGCATGTGACGAGAGGGAGAAAATAATAAGCAGCACAGCAGTTTGTAGCTGTGTGAAGCTGCCTGAGATAAACAGAGCAGTCCCGGAAGAGAGGCTGGAGTTCTTTCATAATAAGAGAGTCACTTCTTGGCAATCTTAATACAAATATTTTAAGAGAACAAGGGGGAGTAAGTTCTGTTTGAATTGCTCAAACATGTCTGTTACTTCTGCATCTAATCCCATAAGTGAAGCAAAAATAATGACCTTTATTTGATCCTGATAGTATAAAAGCTCCTTAAACATCAGTGCTGCCATCAGTGTGTATGTGTTTTAATTAGGTTAAACAATAGAAAATGTTCTGTTTGAATGAGTGACATTGCTGATTTAGAGAAAAACTATATATAATAAGTGTGCTAAAATCTGAATTTGTTCTAATGAATTTATTCTGAAAGATGCAACCGGAACAAGAACTATTGTGGTCTTTCTTCACGCTGTATCGTCACATTTTTTATGATTCCGTGCAGTGAACGAGCTTTAGCAGCGCTGCAAACTGCAGCCAGGCAGGTGTAGCATTCAGAGTCCCGGTTGCCCGTGCAGCCTGTGACAGTGATATTGCCACGACAGATTTTGGAGGTGTGTGCGGCTCTCTGCGTCTAGGAAGGATTTAATGAGTCGCTCCCTCGTTCAGGCACCAATTAATTTTTATCGGAGAGTAAAACAGTTACAAGGAGGAGGAGGAGGAGGACAGAGAGCAGTCATAAGGGACTGAAGCGGCTCCGGGGAGCTGCCACTTTCTCTGTGCGTGTGTCTGAGTGTCTGTGCAGAGAGAGAGGGATTATCATTACGCATGTTATGCCGAGCGCAGTTTTTGGTGATGCATTCAGTCGGGAGATGTGCAGCGTGGAGCAGCAGTGAGCGTCAGCCCGGACCTTCAGCGGCGTAATCAGCGCAAAGAAAAAGTAGATCTCGCTGGTTCTGTGGGGCGCACCGGCTCTACGCAGCACAGGATTTCGATTCATCGTATGTTTTGTTTATTTTGATGAAGGCTGCGGGGTGAAAGTCAAAGATGCGCACCGCTGAACAAAGGATTTAGTGGGAAACGATCACGAATCTGTTCCACATTTTAATCCTGACACCCCCGGCGTGCTTGGTCTCCCCCCTGTGTGGACTTATCAAGGGGGCGACATTCATGCCCATTCTTCCTCTTAAGGACAACGGACACAGGCTGAATAACCTCTGGTTTCAAACCTGGAGCAGAGGGAACCATCTGGGCTGATCGCGCACGAGTCCATGTGGATGGAGAGAGAACACGCAAACAGCGCGAGCGCAGCTCAGTCCGAAATGTGACATTTTTTTTTACTCTGCCTCACATCACAGCTGACATCTGTGCTCCTTGCCTTCGTTCTCCGTAGGATCTGTTTACATCGATTAAGGTACGTGCTGATCACTTTGTAGCCCAGAGGTTTTTGATTTATACTCAAAGGGGGGACACGAGAGTGTGTCAGCCTTATGGAGATAGGCTATGTGCGCGTGATTCAAAGGGTAGGTCTGGTGCAGCTGAAGAGCACACAGGGGGGCTCGGTTTATTTGAATGCATTGTTGTAATGAGGCTGTTTTGGAGCTAAGCAGCACTGATGTGGAAGTTGCATCACTGACAGCCCCTGGAGAAAGGCGATGTCGATGCACCAAATGCAGGGGTTTGTATATGTGTGTGTGTGTGTGTGTGTGTGTGTGTGTGTGTGTGTGTGTGTGTGTGTGTGTGTGTGTGTGTTTGTGTCTGTGCGTTGTAGAGAGGGCACGCAGTCATGTCGACATGTTACAAGATGTACATTTACCTAGAGCGCTGGTCACATTATGGCCTTGACCTCGAGGGGCGTTTTAAAGAAACCATGTTAATCTTAACTAAAGACATGTCCACTGAGAGCTTTGACCTGCGGGACATTGAAGCACCGATTGGCTGTGGCGGATTTTTCTCACGAGGATGAAAAGGTTGGTCTCTTTTAGCTGCGCCTCCATTTTCCACCCACAATACATTCTGATATTTTAGGAGTGTCAATCACTCCTCCATTCTTCAGCTCAGAGGTTAGATGTCAGTCTTCATATTTGGAACACAGGCACGCACGCACTCACACACCTCTGTAACAATGCTGCTACCACAAACAAACACACACACACACACACACACACACACACACACACACACACACACACACACACACACACACACACACACACACACTCTTCTGGAACCTCCAGGGACCCTCCCATGTGGCCAGTATTGTTAAGAGAGGGGAGCTGTACTAAAAACAGAAGAAAAGAAAAAAGAGCTGCTCATGGACTGAAGGTGTCCCCTTAAGGAGACATGCCCCCCCCAATTCACACACACACACACACACACACACACACACACACACACACACACACACACACACACACACACACACACACACACACACACACACACACACACACACACACACACACACACACAGCCCTGGCTGGACTGCCAAACTCAGAGAGACATTGAACTTAAATACCCACTTGAGCCCAATTAGATAAAGGAAGTTTGTATTTGAATGGACGTCAATGTATGGATTGAGTCTGTGTCGGTGAATAGACAGATGATGCATTAGCCTCCGGCCTCTCGTCAGTGCAGTATTTGTGTTCTCAGAAAGCTCCCGGGCCTGTTTCGGAGTGTTCTGTTTTCCATCATTAATCAATATTCAGCAGAGAGGAGCTGCTTATTCTCAGGCTGCACTTTCATGAGTTAGTTAGCTTCCTCCTGGGAGGAGAAGATGCCACAGTATCTCCTCGGGGCTGATGCCATATGTACCTTGTTTGGATGACCGCGTGTGCGTGTGTAGCCTTTTTATGTACACTTGACACAGCTGAGAGTGTTTGAGCTGTGAGAAGAGGCATTTTTGAAGACAAGAGAATCTACCCACTTCTATTTTTTATCCCGATGAAATATAGAATATAACTACCAAATCGCTCCATTATTACAGTACCAAAATAAAGATAAAGATAAACTTTATTGATCCCCCGTGGGGGAAATTTGTGCATTACAGCAGCTCCAGAAAACAGGGGACGGGAATATACTTATAAAAAATAAAAATAGAAGTTAAAAAACAGATCAAACATATAAGAGAACAATAACAACAATCAAATAAGAGAAACAGTAACAAAATAAATGTAATGATAGACAGAATTAGAATTACTTAACAAACAAACATAAGCCTCTGAAAATGTCTAGAAAATTTGAGGAAAGCTGCCCCTGAAATCTTCCTGAGTTGCCTGTTCACGCATGCACCTCACAGAGGAAGACTTTCCCTGTTAGATGGGACCATAAGGGTCTCAGGAGGCTGGATATGATGTAACATAATTGTGCAAATGAACGTAATAACCCTATGAATCAATGAGTGGTACTTGCAGCAGATAGAAGGAAGAAGAAGTTTTCATTACATGCATGGGGATCGCACCGATGGCTCATTGGTCGCATGATGTGAATGAACATTTCCTGTTGGAGTGCACACATTTTTTCAACCTGACTTCATGCAGACATTTCACTATAGGGCTGGTCCAGGTTGGGGGTGAAATAATCAGCTGTTTGTGTTCACACACGCAGCTCACCCTGAAAATCTTAAGTGTAAAAATATCATAACAGTATCACAACAAAGCCCCTTTCTCACATGCACTCCTGTCAACTCCCAATTTCAGGAACATGACGAGCAGGGCTGGACGTTTAAAGGACACTGCAGAATACACATTGTTTGTATCTAAGCTGGAGCTTTGATGATAGTGTTGATAGTGTTATAAAACATATTAATATTATCAATAAAAGAGAAGAGAAGAACATCCTGGCTAGTAGAAAAAGAGTCTGAAGCAGCCTCACTATGTGCAAGAAAATTCCACTGATAATGCACTGCATGGTTGCAGGATATAAAAGTCTTCATCCTGCCCACTCACTTGCAGGAATACGTCCTGAATATTACCTCCTGCGTTCAAACATTAGCTCACAACAAATTCTTGCAGATATGTTTCTAAACAGCTGGCGATGTGGCAAAGGTCTGGGCGATGTCGGGCTTAAAAATCAGGTCACTGGCGTTCACACGTTCAGCTCACTGAGGTGGGACATTATCAAGAGTAAGAGTTGTAGAATATCTGGGGTGCAGTCGAAACCAAATAAAAACAACAGCACTATAAAAAAATACATGTATTTGTGCTTTTGCAACCAACCCTCCTCTGTTCTCACACACACACACACACACACACACACACACACACACACACACACACACACACACACACACACACACACACACACACACACACACACACACACACACACACACACACACACACACACACACACACACACACACACACGCTCCAGGCACACAGCTCGCTCCAGTTCTTCCATGGCACATCCGGCTGTTCCTCCTGTTCCTCTGATCACAGGCGAACCAGATCTGATCTTTCTAGGCTCCTGTGATAAACCGCAGTTCAGTTCCCATCACTTCATCTATAATAAAAGATGCTCATTGATATCACATGTCGGCAGAGCACATGACACCTGAGGGCTGTAGCTTGTTCCAGGGTGAATATTTTGGGATTCTTCACATCTGACTTACTTAAACTGCCATCGGGTTGTTTTTGTTGTTCGAAGAGGAAGAGGAGGAGAAGGAAGAAAAAAAAAATGGGGGGGGGGGGGGGGGTAGAGGCAGTGGGGCTGTTAATTGTTAAGTCAATTAGCATATGGTCTTGCTGTGAGCCCAGTCACATGGTAATGAGGCCTAATTAGGATGGCTCGGGGTGTCTGATGAGGCTGGAGAAAATACTTTCACCGTCAGCCAACCAGGAGGCCTGTGCGCTGGCTGAATGGACGAACACTTCTTCAGTCCGACCATTCAGTCATTTTTCAAGTCTTTTATTTAAGCACGGCTCCTCCCCGAGTCTTTTTTTCTTGTCCTCTTGTCCTCATCGACTCCTCTTCCATATTTTAGCACCGTTATACATCACGCCTCGACTTCCACGGCACCCCTGCCCTCTCCTCCTCTTCTTCAGCCCCTCTCATTGCTCTTCTTACTTTATCTGACACTACCAGCTGCGAGGGATTGGTGACGTCACTCTTGAGGCTTACAGACGTGCAGAGATTTGAGACACAGTCAGACGGATCAGATTATGCATTGTAATTCAGAGTTATTGTGCATTTCATGTGAAGTAGTGAGTTGGAGGAGTATCCTAGCCATAAACGTAATGAATTACTTTGCATCTGTTTAAAAAATGAGATTGTAATTATAGTGTAGGAATAAACAGATCATATATCTTGTCACCCAGCAAGAAAAAAGGATTGATGGCACTGTTCATTACTTTCCAAGTGTAAATCTACTTACAGTGAACCTGTGATGAAGTCTCTCTTTGTTGCATTGATGAAAAAATGCACCAGAAATATATTTCATGTGAATTGGCTGTGCTTTCTGTGTAGGAGGTCTCACACTTCAGCTGAATGCACGATTGGAAAGGAAGGCCATCTCTGGATAGTCACAAGTTCAGGGATTTACAGCAACCATGTGTCCTGTCAAAGAGTCCCTGAGTAAGAGAGAGCTCCTCCCTTGGATGAGCATCGTAGCTTAGAGAATGTCCAAATAAAGAAAGAAAGGTTAATTAGAATACATGTTTTTCTGTCATGCAGCAGCCCCACGTGAACTTTAAGAGAAGTTATTTAACCTCCAGAGCAGACAAATGTTCGAATGCCAGCTTGGTGACGTTAGAAACATACAAACACGTTATGACAAGAGAGCATAAAAAGAGATTACAAGCCAGACTTAACCCTAGGAGCAAATTCAAGCAAATAACTCTGACTCAAGACATTCAAGAGCACTTAAGACGGGAGTTGCAGATTACAAAAGACAAGTCTGTGATGTCACCAGTGACAAACAGGAGCACACAAGCTTATTTGTGTATTAAATCCAAACCAAATCTGATGCAGTGAAAAAAAAAAAGGACATCCAGTCATCCTCGGTTAATTTAACTTGACTGATTTTTAAGGCCTTATGTAATCCCCTGCGTCTCATGCAAGATGTAAATTTATGCGCTGTCGGAAAAGTAAAGGTCTGTGAGTGTGAGAGAAAACAGTGGAAGAAGCGCCAGAGAGCAGATGCTAGCATCCGTCCTGCAAATGACCTGCTCACCCCAACAGCTGGATGAGTCTGTTTCCAACCATATACCTACACACACACACACACACACACACACACACACACACACACACACACTCTCACACTCTCACACTCTCACACTCTCACACTCTCTCTTTCTCCTCTATTACAGTCTGAATTTAAAGAAAAAACTGTGAATCGAATGAGTCGTCAAAATGCAATAATACCCCCCAATTATCACCACGGTAATTAAGCTGCATCTGGTTGTGTGCTATGTCTGATAATTACAGGAGGAGGTGATTGTAGATAGATTTCCTCATCCCTTTCTATTTCCAGCAGATTTGAAGGACTGCAGTGCTGCACATTTGCCCTCTCACGTCGATGATCCTGTTGTGTGTCAAACAGCAGCACTATAAGGAATGCATGCTGCATACTTGCCACGTTCAGTTCAGTGTGAGAATGTGTTGCCCTCCTACACGGATGCATAATACATGCCATCAAGCAGAATGTGATATTTACATGCACACACAGGCGCTATGCCAGCCAGCCAGCCTGTTTTGTATGTGCATGAGCGCCACGTGCAGCATGAATGCATGTAAACCCCTGCTTCGTGCAGAATACAAAACTAAGATTGGACCTCTCGGGTGCCAGCAGGCTGCTTTGGCACAGAGGAAGACGATGCCTGAGAAACAGTAGCCATGCAGCAGAACTGGCAAAGGCTGGATCCTTCCCCAGTTACATAAGAGACACAAGAAGAAAGGCAAAAGGGGGAAGGGAGGGAAGAGGAAGGGGCACAAGGAGGGAAGAAGGAGAAGCCAAAATGGAAGGAAGGGGGGGTTGTGTTTGGGATTAGAAGGAGAGAGGTGGGGAAAAAATAGGAGCGTTAGATGAGAGGTGTGTGAGGTGCATCTTTAACAGCACACCTTCAAATGTTGCAGGGAGATGAGATGGCTGCGGCTGCTCTCGAAAAAGAGGTGGCATTGAAATCCAACAGAATAGAGGATTTTTAAATGGAGGGAAGGACAGTGACAGAGAGAGAAACAAGTCTGGAAAGCTGGGAGGGAGGGGAGGGAGGGGAGAGAGGGGAGGGAGGGTCGGCGACAGCATCCTCTCGGCTGCACAAAGAGGAAGGCCATGCACACCCTCTCTGTCTTTCTCCCTCTCTCTTTTTTTTTCCACATGACTCATATTAGTGACAAGCAGTGGGGAGGACTGGAAGTGTGTGTGCTGTGTGTGGTGCAGGTTTGCATAAGCATGGCTGATTTTGCACATGTGTGTGTTTTGCCACAGGCAGCCCCTTGCATAAAGCAGCCAGAGCAGCCGTCTGTGCAGGAGGCCGTGACTGGGTGAGAGGATGAGGGAATGAAAAAGTGGTCGCTCATGAGTCGCTCGGCCTCTGTGAGTGTGTCTCGACTGCATGGTTTTCACAGACTCTGTCATTAGGAAGTGACAAAAGAAGGCAACGAAGAAAGACAAAAAGGGTAAAAATAAAATAAACAGAGGAGGAGCAGTCTGTCTGGCTTTTGAGGATGAGTGAGCATCTCTCTCTTTCATTGTGTTTGCTCTCTTTTGTTTTTTCCCTGTCTTTAGAGACAGGCGTAACCACGGTTATCAGAAAAACAAGACAATGTAGGACTAAGCGTGTGTGACATGACAAGTGTTTTTTTTTTTTTGTGCAACCTGTGCATGTATGTGCATTGGTGTAAGTTGTTATTGTGTATGTTTAAGGCTTCATATCGTTTCTTTTTTCTGCTTTTTGGTGACTCATCCCTCCATAAGCACTGATTGATGTTAATGTAGAACAATAATAATAACAACCAGTGGCTGTGAGCTGCTGCAGCCAGGAGGGAAAGGAGAGGACAGGAAGCGACAGGATGAAGTAACGGCAGGAAATAAAGGAGCAGAGAAATTTGGTAATGAGGAGGAATTTGGAGGGTGTAAATCTCTAAAGAATACATGAAAGAGCTCCGGATAAATGAATATGCACAAACACACACATGTACGTCTTTCACTGCTATTCCCTCTGGGGCCTCACTGAAATAAATAATGATATTTCAGAAGTTGTAAACAACTGCTGACTTGAAAATATATATTTCTTATGGATATTAGGACGGATACATCAAAGCCTGTACATAAGTAGATGAAACAGCATGTGTGTAAATGTTAGGTTGTGTTGTTTGAGTCTGGAAAAGTTATGGAAGGAAATGAAATGCCACAGTCAGCCTCTGAACAGATTATCTCGCTGGATGAGCTTTCTCAACATGTCAGTATAAACTCTGTCATGATATTACTGCCATCCTCTTATGTGCAAAGGTATCACAATTAATCCAACACAAAGTCATGTGGTCAAAATATATACAGTGTTAAAAATGACTGCATGAAAGTGTTGTTTTCATGCTGGTGGTTCAGATAGAGGATATTTGAAAGTAAAAAAAAGCTCGTAATTATTGTCATGTTATTGCAGTAAGGTTGTTTTCTTATTTGATACTTTTCTTTACGTGTATTAAAAAGAATGCGATCTCTTTTATTTGCATGACGTTGCAAACATTTCTGTGCATTTGAGACAATGTGGTTGCATGCAATTTTTGGAAATTAAAAACATAAAAAAAAACTCCCATTATTGGATGCCTAGGACTTCTCTTTTTAGTGCTGTGGTATTGAATCAGGTAAAATTAATAAGTCACATTAAAATAAAATACTACATGAAGTTACAAGTACTTATATTTGTGCTCACATGTGTTCGTCAACCTGTGATTTCTTTTTTTATTCTCATGCATTAGTGAGATAAATCGTATCAAATTAAAGTAGGTCTAGTCGTCTATTTTTCTGCAGATCCACAAGACTTATGTTATTATTTTCCTGATACAAATAAATCCAAATGTCTAGACCTCAGTCTCTTTCTGGCCCATTTATTAAGGAGTGTGTGTGACCTGCAGCCCTGGCTGGTGTGTATTTAAATCTTCCACTCTCCCTGACGACCATGTAGCTCCCCCTGACTTACTGGCATAGAGAGAGAGTGAAGCAGGGGATATCCAGTGTCCTGTGAGTGGTATGTAAATATTGTGCTACGGTCTATTTGTGGACCAAGGAACATTTTCTAATGCCAAAACTAGAGCGAGACTTAAATTACTTTGAAATGAAGAATCCAAAGTGCAGCTGTAAGGCTAAAAATGTGTGTGTGTTCTTCGTAAGAGCAGATTGTTTGACACACTGAGGCAGCTTGGAAAGAATTTCTGTTAGCTTAGCGACGTAGCGGAGAGCCGGTTGACAGTAACCTGGCAAAGTGACTCGTTTTGGGTGTGTGAGAGAGCGGTATTGTGGTGGCTTAAATACAGATGAGCCTCTCAAAAAAACACACAGCCTGTCAGGTGAAATGACAGCGCTGATCATCCAGCATTGAGCTCACTGAAAGGAGTGTGTTTTTGTGTTCGTGTGTGTCTGACAGTTTGTGATGAGTAAAGGAGAAACACAGTCTCAGAGACAGCATTGATTTTGCTTTCTGAGGGCTGCTGCTGCTTCTCCTTCACTGGGACACAAAAGTATCCGAGGGTTTGTACTTAGAGCTGGAGGCAATGCGGTGTATTGTGCATTGTTCAGCGCCTTGTTATGCGCCCTTAGATGCCTGATAGTGAGTAGATCTGCTTGTACACACCAGTTTTCCTCTGTTTTTCTCTTTTTTTGTTTTCTCCATAAAAATATGCATGATGCAGCAACTTTCCTGTCAGGGGCTCCAGCAGCAGGTTCACTGGTCAAGACCGGACAAATAACACACCTGAAACTCTATATAGAAGCATTGCCGCTGCCGCCCCTGTGAATGAACTGAAGGCAGTTTATCTGGACTTCTCTTGGTTTTGTAGGTGTTCTCTCTGCTAAAATGGGGCATTGAAATGGTTCAAAAAGAGGCAGGGCTATAGGCAGCATGGGTTGTTGTGTGTTTTGAGGCTTCTGTCATTCACCCTGCATGAACTGCTGTCCTTTGTTTCGTCTGCTGAAACACAGCAGTGGCTGTCAGTATTGTCATTGCGAGGCGGATAATAACTGTGGGAATGACTGACTGCTCGGCTCCGCTGCTTTAAAACATTTTCTTACCAGTACGACTCACTCGCTTTCTCTGTCTTGTCCCCTTTTTTTCCTCCCCATTCTTTCCTTTGTCTCTCTCTCTCTCTCTCTGTCTTCTTCTGTTGATGTCTCAGACATGGCGTTCCTGCCGGTCCTCCTCCTGCTGCTGCTGTCTGTTACTCATCGTGCTACCAGTCAAGACTCGGAGGACTCTGAAGCTCTCCCGAGAGGCTGCGGCTGGGGCCTCGTGCGTCCCTACACCCTACTCTGTGACCTGGACTCCATATGGGGTGTTGCTGTGGAGTCGGTGGCTGCCGGGGGGATTCTGACCGCCATCATGCTCGCCCTCGTCCTGCTGTGCCGTTTACACCACATCGGTGAGGCCGAGAAGCGTAGCGCCGTGGGACCCATCCTCCTGCTGCTACTGGGGGTCCTCGGCTTATTCGGCCTGAGCTTTGCCTACCTGATCGAGCAGGATGAGTCTCTGTGTTTGCTCCGCAGGGCCCTGTGGGGTCTCCTGTTTGCCGTCTGCTTTTCCTGCCTGCTGGTGCAGGGCGTCCGCCTGCGCCGGCTCGGCAGGGAGCGCCGCAGCCCCGGCGGCTGCGCCCTCACGGGCCTCGCGCTGGGTTTGAGCGCCGTGCAGGGCATCATCGCCGCCGAGTGGCTTCTTCTGACCGTGCTGAGGGAGGGCCGAGCTGCCTGTCAGTATCTGCCAATGGACTTCTCGCTAGCCTGCAGCTACGTGCTAGCCCTCCTACTCGCAGCACTGGCCGCTGCTTCTCTGGCCCTCTGTGCGAAGACACGACAGTGGCGCTGCAACGCCATCTGGCTGCTGTTGACCTGCCTGCTGTCACTGCTGCTGTGGGTGGCCTGGGTGGGCTTCTACCTGTATGGAAACGACTGGCTGGGGAGGTCCCCGGACTGGAACGACCCGGCACTGGCCATCGCTTTGGTGGCTCAGGGCTGGCTGCTGCTGATCTTCCACGCCATCCCTGAGTCCCACATCTGCATGAGATCCCCGCCACAGCCCAACGCCCCGGACTACTTCGACACTTCCCAGAACTCGACGCGGATGAGAGAAACCAGCTTCGATGAAGACATCCCTCTGTCTCACAGGCAGTTTGTGGAGAACCAGGGCTATGGATACAGTGACGAGAACGCTGCAGGTACACTCCAATTCTTCACAGCAGACAGGACAAATATGTGCAGGCAGATTGTGGGTGGAATGTAGGCCAGAGTGAGTAATAGAGCAGCAGGAAATATATGCATATGTGGCAAGAAATGCGCAGTGGGAAGTTTCTGTGGTGCAGGATTACACAGCAACATGTTTCTTTGTTCAACAGAGACATTAAACTGGTTCCTAACCAGTTAGTAACCTCTCTTTGTATCCATGTCTCCACCACACCAGGCCTGAGGACCGGTGGTGGCCCCGTGCAACACAACAGCAACACCGGTGCGAGGCCCAGCGCTCCTTTCCGCAGCAACGTCTACCAGCCCACCGAGATGACCATGATCCTGAACGGGGGAGCGGTGAGTACATCCTCCCAGTCACAGGTACACGCCGCTTACACGCCGCTTACAAGCCGCTCTCTCATTTGACCACGCCGAACAAGACTGCATGCACATTTGTGCGTTCCAGACCGTACGTCATTGCACAGGAATGAGGGGGAGGTGTGTGTGTGTGTGTGGGTGTGTGCATTATCACACTGAAGGTGCATGGTCATGAGCTTGTGTGTTATTGCAGTTTGTGCGCACATGCATGGATGGGTTTGTCACAAAGTGGTACCTCAACTGGCTTTGATTTGTGTATGTGTGAGAGCTTCCATGAGCTCCTGTGTGTGTGTGTGTGTGTGTGTGTGTGTGTAAAAAAAGACACAGCGATGCTATCAATCCACTGAATGATGCAACTGTCTGCCTGCTTGTCCCGCCTTTCATTACACAGGAGTAATGGGCACCCTGACTGGAACAGGTGAACTTATTTCCAGCCTCTGTGTTGTGAATTAAGTTTTCCACACAACAGCACAGCACAACGCTACGGCTGTTAATGCTTACGCTTTTCTACTGCCAAAAGATATAGTTTGCAGTCACTCTTCCTTGAGATCGCAGCCGACTACAGGAGAGCTCTGCATAAAACTTCATTAGCTTAACAGTGTTTTTGTGTATTTATGCTGAAGATTAGTCACATTTACATTCACAGCATTCTCAACACTTCAATGAAAGTGCCTCACATAGATTATATTAAATAAGAAATCCAGGTTTAAGGGGATTAAAGAAATGTTAAAGATAAAAGCATTGTGTTAAAGAGAGCATGCAAAATCAGTTAGATAATGGTGTAAGTGTGGGAGATGGTACAGACATGAGAGTTATATCAATCTTCTCCTCTGACTTTTGTCTTTAACTGGATAAGTGCAGTTCCTTAAATGTCAAACTCCTTCTGTAAAGGGAAGGGATATCAATTGGGTTTAAAGCCGGCAGGAGTTGGGCCAGTCTTCTGTTTGCTGAATGCTACTTCACTCTTCTTAATGCTTCTACTTTGTGGTTTGCATTAAATGTGGGCCAGTTAAAAGGCTACCATAAATAAAAGGAGAAGGTTAATATTAATGAAAAGACAGCCATGCATATATATTTGATCTCCAACCACAGAGGGGGTTGCAGGAGAGCATGTGTAAATGGGACTGATTCAGCTTCTGTATGCATGCGGGGTAAAGATGAATGCGTGACTGTATGATGCTATCCTAAATATTTATCATTTACGAACCAAATTCTTTCCCCTTCCACAGGTTCCCTCTGCTCCTCCTACCTACACGGGGAGGCAGCTGTGGTGAGCGAGAGGATCGGAAAGAAGATGTGTGATCGAAAATTAAGAGAAGAAGAGGATGGAGATGGATGAGGAGGGCGGTCCCCACGGAAGGTTGCCTTGTTGGACTGGACTTTAAAAAAAAAGAAAAAAAAAAAGGATGCCAACGAGGCCCTTTCCTTCTGTGTACAGACTGAAACCCTGACTGTGTGCAAATCAAGGAACATATGAGTGTGTGAGAGAGTGAGAGGAAGTAGGGCATGGAGGACAGAGCTAAAGCTCTTCTAGCACACAAATATCTAAAAAATGAAGGGTTGAAAAACTCAAAGTGTGACCGGCAAGTAGCAAAGCAAAACTGACGCTGACTTAGATCTGAAAATATCAACATGCAGTATCCTTTTTGTTTTTCTTCTTTGATTTGCTCCCCTGAGACTGCAGCACTGTAAGCATCCTTGAAAACTGTGAAATCTTTCGCTTTTTTCCTCGCTCTCTCTCTCTCTCGCTCTCTCTCTCTCTCTCTCTCTCTGTCTGTCTTGCTCTCCCTGTCAATCAGGATGTCTTTTTTTTCTGCTGCCCCACAAAAAATGCTGGCGCTCAAGTGGAAACATTTGGCTCTGTCCTCCATCCATCCACAGTGTAGGTGAAGAAGCAGCACGTGGGCAACTGTACAGCTCGAGCACCGCCCTCTTAAAAAGAATCCAGCCTCTGTGTGTGTGTGTGTGTGTGTGTGTGTGCTCCTTACATCTCATACGATAAGCCCTCTCTCTCTCTGGACTGAGAGAGACCCACGAACACTCTCCCCTCCTCCCTTTTTATCTGTTTGCATTTCTCTGCACCGTCTGTGAATATCACCTACAGTATAACCCTCCTCACCTCGCCTCATCCTCCCACCTGCATGGACACTTTGCAAAAAAACTAACTGTGAAGAACTCAAAAAAAAAAAAAAAAAAAAAGCAGCCTGGAGCACCTGAGCAGAGGGATCACAAGCTGCTACTGAACTACTGTTAAACACAATTACAGCGGAGCAGAGTGGATCCTGATTGGACGTGGAGGGCGTCAGTCATCGGCGGAAGGAGGCAGTGTTTGGTGAATCTAGGTCAGACTTTACTGCACGCTGCTCTCCCACATCTCCGGTGGCCACTGGCGGTTTGAACCAGCCAGGAGAAACTGTCACTTTAAATCAGCAGGAAACGGAGCGAGGAAGTGAATCGGTATCCTCTTCCTATAGTTCCTCTATCAGTGTTTTACGTGTGCGTACATGAGTGTTGTGGTTTTTATGAGTGTCGAGAAGGTGGGGCTCCAAAGACAAGGTTGCATTCTGGTGCTAAATATTTCTCCACACTGTTTCCCAGTGAGGGCTCAGAACTACAGGAACAACACTGATGCTGATCCAGTAGTCAGACACTGAGTGACAGGCTATATATAGAGCCGAGGGGCTGGTGTGTCGAGATATCGGAGAGCCTAAGAAAGATCAGATTTGCAGTGCGGGCGAGAAAGAGGGAGATCAGATAAAAGAGGAGGGAGAAGGGATGAGGAAGATGATAGGGAGAGATGGTCTGAGTGGAGAGAAATCCCTGTGACTTCCTTCACTTAGTCCAATCAGTGCGAGGAAATGGCTCCACAGCCTGCGTGCGTGCGTGCGTGCGATATAGGGGCAGCCACACTGCTCTGCTCTATGTTTTTGTCTTCTCCTTCCTCCTCCTCCTCCTCCTCCTGTCTCTCTGTGGTCGGCTCGAGCTCGAGTCCCTGTGCCAAGAAGGACTCTTGTTTCACAGGAGTCTCCGTTTCACGCCCTTCATCGACTCTCTCTCTCTCATCACTGGAAAAGCTGTGTACATAGTAGTGCTGTAAAGCTTTGCTTGCTTGTTTACTTTTTTTTTTAACTGTAGGTTTAATTTAGACACCAGTATCATATGACCGACTGGAGACTGACTATTGCAAACTGTTTTTATCTGGGAACTTTTTTTTTTAACTGGTTGGCTTCGTGTTCATACATTTGCTTGTTCTTCCTTTTATGCTTTTATTTTTCTCTTGCTGGTGTCTTTATTTTTTTTAATAGCATTTTGGAAATGTTTTGCCAATACTAGATATGCTTTTTTATTTTTTCTTTGATTAATGTTCAAGGAAATGATATGAGTTGTCATTTTTAGGCTTTTGCATCGTTTGTACCTCTCGCACAGAGTTATCAGTCAAGACCATAGACGGTTTAAAAAAGATGGACGACATGACAGCTCCCCAAAAGTGAAGCCAAAACATTCTGAGCTCCCTCTGCTGAGTGGCTGCAGTACAGCTCCGCCTTGTTCCTGTCCAGACATGGACTAGAAAATAAACACCACTTCTCAGACCTTGTTTCTGTCATAGTTAGTTCTTATCATGTTGATTTATGAATGATGTTCACATCAAGAAGTTTAGTTTTGAGTCATTATTTGATGCTAAAGATGAGTATTAGGAGGAGGAAACGTAAGGAAATTTGACACAAGAGTCATTAAGCTTTCCATACCTGACACAAGAATCTGTTCTGCTGTGGGAAGGACATCAATATCGTCAAAATTCTGCCACCAGTGCAATTAGTCACCGCCTTTTCTGAGGGGAGTTTCAGCTTCATTTTTGTACAACGAGAGGAAGTGGAGACAAGTCATCGTGCTCTACATAGTCATAGGTCAAGTTAGCGGTCGATGTTTTGCTGTAACAGTTACGGGATACACACAAAACCATTTTTCTTTTGTTGAAAAACTATAACGGCTGTGAATTACTTCGAGCACTTCAAAACAAAAACTTATTCTGTGATACTTTAAAGATCATTTAGGAAACAGAGCAGGGAGGGCTAGAAAAAAAAATCTCAAGTCCACCTCGAGTCATTTTGTGACACCTTGTTTTACAGCCACCTGCGACTAAGAAAAGACCCGAGTGTCACCTCTTAACTGCTGCTGTATGTTTATGTCTTACCCACTGGCTATTCTGAAATAGGACTGGTACCAGCGAGCGCGCTCCATGCCCAAGCAGAGCGTGCCATGCTATGTCAGGCTCTGCTTGGGCCCTCTCTGGTCAGAAACTGTCCACATGTGTGAAGAGTCCATGAAGAAGAACTGACCTCAGGGTTTGGGATGGTCAGCAGCAGCAATGAGGCAGCGTGTGGAGGTTTCACTTCTTGAGATGAGTTCACTCAACACGGAATACAAAAAAAAAAGGATAACGTGACTTTGTAGATTTTGCACTTGTCGACTACCTATCTGTGCATGCTTATCACCATTTCTACATGTAAGCCCTTTCTCAGACGTACTTTTGAATACTAACTCTATTTATGTAAGGGTCATGTGAAAGCAATCATAATTTCCGTGTATATCAGATGACACACTTAATGTCTGTGCTTTCTTAAACACAAGAGAGAGCTGGCTCTTGAGAAGCAAAGAGATTCACGTCGGTGGGAAAGTGGTCCAAAATAGTCTGAGTCCCCAAAAAGGATCAAGATGCCATCATCACTGGACCTAAAAATAAATTCCTCTGTTAGTTTGAAGCCTGGAGGGGAAAAAAGAGAAGCTTCAGGTGGATGTCGTCTCTGTGTGTAAAATCAAATAGACTGTGGTGAAATTTGCACAAAACTTCTATATGTTACGTTTGTCATCCCTGGGCAGCTCACTGAACACCCGTCATCCCTGGGTTTGGCATGTCCTTGCCTGTCCTCTCCTGATTTGTCTTGCCTTCAGACTGTTCCAGCGGGGCAGCTGACAGGGGTGATATTGGTTTTCACAGCTGTGACTGTGCAGTGACGCAGCATGCCTATGTATAGAACTTTATTCCCCTGATTAGAAAAAAAGAAAAAAAACAGTTAACTCTTGTTTCTGTAACCGAGTCAGGAAAAAAAAGTTCAATAAAAGTGTCATGTTTGTAGTTAACTTTTATATTGATGTGGTGGTTTTATTTCTGACGTCATGATTTACATGGTTGTTCTCTGGTGTTACGATCAGAGCCAAAGTGATTATGGTTTGAGACCAAAGCAAATACACTGATGTGGTTATTTCAGAGACAAGTCTGATCAATCCAATCAGCTTAATCCCTAAATTTAAAGATTTTTAATTAGGGTTATTCATTAGAAAAATATGTTGTGTTTGACTTGCTAGTGCGATGCTTGATAAAAACCTTAATGGAGACTTTTTTCATTCATTTGACAAAATTACATTTTGAAACAAACTTTGTGAGTAAATTGTTGGACATTTAGCTAAATGAAAGTTTCTTATTTTAACAAAGGATTCGATAAGAGCGATGACTATATCCGCTAACTATAAAGCTACCATGGGCCGCCAGTTAGCTTCGCTTAGCACAACGACAGGAGCCGAGCGTATACTCGATATACGATTTCAGGCCAATTGAGTCCACATTTTTAAATCATATGACAGCCAGATAGCACATCTTCAGTCGTGCAGTATACACTGAGGTGCAATGGCCGACCACGGCCTGATTAGCTCTGCTCCTGACCAGTTGGATGATTTTCTCTCATGTTTGAAATGAAGGTCTGAAAATCTCGCACAAAGAGCAGAGCAACGAGCCAATTCCCAAACTTTTGTCCTCTGATTTAGCCTGCACAAACTGTCAGAAAATGTCCGATATAAACGTGGCAACAGCAGACATGTCCGTTTAATTGGTCTCTTCTTCTGTCATGAAAGAAACGTTAGTTGGAGGTCCGCAGATATTTCCTGCAGACAGGTAATATTTGTTATGATTTAGATGCTAGAAGGTTTTTGCAGTGTGTATATTTGAGCCGCATGCATATGTGACAACGTAAAATCACATCTGTTGACAATTGTTAATCCTCTGTCCTGACTTAATCCATAGGCTATAGTATGAGCTCTCAGGTCACGCCCGACAATCAAGTGGTACAGAGTGAGAACATAAATCTGGAGCTTTGTTCGTGCATTTTAAACGATTTAATCGCACAGTGTGAACTTACATTCTGCCAGAAATGTTAAACCACCGTACAATATACCCCGGTGCCATGTCAATTTGTGGACTTTAGAGGTCTAAGGACCCAGATCCCAACAAGCCCATCCCCCCGTTTCCATTTTTTATGCCAAGCTAAGCTAACAAGCTGCTTGTGTTAGCATGCAAATAACCAAAGGACATTAGAGTGGTACCATTTACTTAAAGTTTATTTATATATTCCAAATATGTCAAAACTTGAAGGCAGTTTTAATCAATATATTTTTAATAATACATCAAAAGATATACATATATATTATATTAATCTTAGGCTTCTTACATCCTGCATGTTGTGTTTGGAAATAAGATTAAATAAAATGTTTGTCTGAATTTGTCAGGTGAATGAGGCTTATATAAAGTGTAATGAGATATTTTTTACTAAAAATTTGACAAATAGATTTGGTGTGATTTGAGTGTTTGCAGTGTGTATTCTGCATACATTCAGCCGTGAATCACAGCCCAGAACACGCTGTTTTCAGGCTTTACACTGACGGCCTGGTGCCCCCTCTCTTCTGCTGCTCAAAGATCCAGTTTCACTTGGTTCCAGTGCTGTCAGACTCTGTGGAGCTGGCTGCACTATCAGATGTCCCCGGAATGAAATGGGCTGTTTTATCACTTCACCCAGAAGCAGCTGTCTCCCAGACATCCACATACCTGCAGAGGGAGATACATGACCCTCCCTGTGGCCCACTGTGAGGCAGCGTGAGGCAGCGTGCATCAGTGCCCAGGATGGTCGGGGGATGCCATCCATCAGGAGACCGCCCCCGCCTCGCCTCTCTGCAGAGGCACTGGGGTGGAGACACCAGAAGTATCCTCTCAGGTACGCAGAGTTCAAGGAGGGGGTGGAAATCTGCCAGGAGTGCACTTTATTCTCTCTGTGTCTAATGACAGAGCCAGGAGAAGACAGCAACAACCTGCACTGTCTTATTGACATTATCACAAATATTAGAGCGGTCAGTGAAGCAGCGTGAAGTCTTTTTATCCTCAATATTTTTGCTGATCAAATTAAATGAACTTTCCATGGCTGATATGTAACATTTAAGAAGATGTTGGATGACTAGAAGGAGCAAAAAAAACAGGAAGGAGGGATGCAAAGTCTCTGACATTTAAGAATAACAAGACAAAACTGTATCCATGTAAAACAAACTGTTCAGACTTCATAAAACAGTACGTAAAATACATGAAATGAACACGTCAAATATTCAGCTGCAGCAGAGACACCACCATACAGTGTCAGTTTCTATAATAGTGAGTGTATACTCCTAATTTTAGTGACACTTTTCTATACAAGGTCATATACATTCACATGTAATTAATTATAAATTGATTTGTTTAATGGGCTATAATCTTCAGCTTCTAATGTTGCATTTCCATAGTATCAAGAGATGTAACAGGCCTTTTTATTCAGTAGTGGAATAGAAAGATCAATGGAGATTATTGGATTTTCCTCTCTGCTGCTCGGTCAGAGTTGCTGTCGATCACCTGTCAGCCCTCTCAGCAATGTTTTTCAATTTCCTTTTTTTTATTTCCTCTGTTTCTCTGACAGAGTGCTGCTGTGCACGCAGGGTCACCTTTCAGCCTGACCTCAGTTCCTGGCTCAATCGGAAATGCTCCAATCTCTTTGGTGTGATACATATTGCTAAGGAAAACAGGAACAACAAGGAAAAGGAAGTAGCTGGTTATCAACCGGTGAGCTGTCTGCTGGAGGGGCTGAGAGGAAATATTTAGTCCTACTAGAGGCTACAGTATTGTAGAACCTTGCTGTATGGTGTTCATTCGTTGGGTGAGACTCGTAAAGGGAAGTGATCCATCAAAAAGGCAATGAAAGCAATCAACTAATTAGACACGGACCTCGGACCATAAATCCTCACGTGGCCATATCCAATTGGTTACAGGCGTTTTTAATGGCTTGTTTGAGTGATCACTTTGGTCACTTTGACATCCACCTAACACAGCTTAATAGCCTTTAAACAACAGACAAACCTTGTACCCACAGCAATGATTTCAGTTAATAGAAGTCTGGACGAGGTTTCAAGTTCCTGGTAAAGACGGAGACGCCGCAGTCATGGTTTATCATGATTATCAGTCAGTGTTGGTGTGGAGGTCATTTTGGGCTGGTCGTCAGCAAGCTGGGGGTCATCAGGCAATCAACGACCTCAGGGGTCATCTTGGGGGTGGGGGTGTGGACCACAGTGCTCTGGGGGGTGGGGGACACAACCTGGATGGACACGTCTGAGTTGCCGGGCTGAGGACTTTCTGGAAGATCTGCCATAACAGAGCCAACTGGAGACAAACAAGAACAACTTCCTGAACATGGACAGGTGCTCTGTTGTGTTTTAGACAGGCTGTAATAAATAATCATCACTCCTGAATGTCAAACCTGCCATTCTGCTCTACTCTGCACTCCACTGAGGAAACAGCATTCAAAAAGCATGAAACATCTCTACTTAAAAAATTTAAATATGTCAGATTTGTCAGACACTTCCTAAAAGTTTAACCAATGCATGTCTGAAAGCCTTCTTTTTTTTTTTTATACATTTGATTGTTGGCCCACTTTCTGTTTCTAGCACAGATTTTCTTAAGGAAAAAGCTACCCTCTGTTTTTGTCTTTAAAACACAAGCCTCTTCTCACCTGCACTGCACTCATTAAGATTTCCTCAAATTATCCAGGTGGGCAGCATGTTTGAAAACACAGATTTTATTCAGACTTTTTGCTGCCAGTCTCTTAGTAAAAATAACAAGTATTCGGGTGAGTGAACACAACAGACAGAAAAATCATTCCTATCCAGTGTGTGGTATTGATGACCTATCATGTGAAACCGGTGGGATCTTTGAGCACGTTGGGACCCTGCTACAAACTCTTTTCTGCTTGCCAGTATGTTATTATGTTGAAACTGGAGATATGTCCAATAACATGTCGCATTAAGAAACAGGCAAAAAGTGTAATTTGTCCACTATCTTGTATACCGTAGACACATTACGTTGGGACTTTTGCAGCTTTTTATGTCACGTCCTGTCTCCCGGGACTCAGCACACCCGCTTTTCAGGAGTTTTGTGTTTGTGTGAATAAAGTTTAAAAGACTTATTTTGTTATTGTGCGAATGTGAAAACAGTGTGCTAACAAAGCATACAAAACACGGCTCAGGAGGACAGCAAAGACAGACAATATCATTTAGTATAGACTTCAACAAACAAAAAGACACTACATAACAATTAGAAATAATAATGTCATGTGTAAGGGGTATTTTTTGGAATTAGTTGTCTGGAGTGCATGATGTGTGAGGGTCTATAACATTGTATTTTACTCTAAGTGTACAATTTATGGTGATTGCCCAACTATTTGTACATTTGTCAAGATGTTATTGAATATAATTGATAGGGCAAATATTTAAAGGCCTGTGTTTTAAAACCTGTAAGACAAACCATGATTCAGCCCATCTCTCTCTCTCACTGTGACAGCTGCATTTTGTCGGCCTTCTGTGATCTGCCAGTTAAAGGCGATAGCTGTGACATTATGGAAGTGAAGCAATGATGAATAGGCTGCTATATATGGCCACTTAAACGATAACAGGAGCTACAGACAGGCTCGCGATGATGCTAATAGTTGAGGTTCTGCTCTGTTAATATCCAAATGACTGCAGTGGTGATTTAAAGTGAGATTTAGAAAAGTGTTCATTTCACTTTTATTACTCAGTAACATCTGTAGCATCAGTTGAAGCGCTGAGGCAGCTCCTAAGAGCTTTTTTATTATTTAAAAGTGAATTTCTCTGTTTGAAAATATTCTGCAGATGGTCTATATTATAAATGATTCTGACAAGAAAAATGCACAATTTAACCATGTGCCAGATGCTGCAAGAAAAAAGAACTGTGGCTGACACATTTCAAAAATGGTATAATCCTATGATATACTTTTGATAACAACATGCACTTCTACAATCACTTATGAGGTGTTTCTCTGGTTAGCTAGCTCACTACTCAGGCTGAAGGTAAACATCCGACATGTCCGTCTAGAGTCAAGGACAGTCCTGTGGTGATTCATGAGCTGCTGAAAGCTGCACCTGCCAAACAAGCTGTGACCTTTTGATCCTGAGGTATCATTGTTTGTCCGCTCTCTCAGTTGCTTTCCTCCCACAGCTTCTGTTTTTGCTCTGCGTCTCTGACTAATTCTGATTTCAGACTGTGAAATGTGAAATGGCAGAAGAGGAATCACATGCCGGTCTCCTCGGGTCAGATGAGATGGGTGCAGCTGTTGCGGTTTCGACTTAAGAGGGCGTGTTTACAGTAAAGAGGTGGCTTCCCTAAATAATCTCTCTCTCCCTCGATCTCTAACTCATCCGCTCTCTACCACAGACCCTGACATGGGTCATTTATTTGTCAGTGCTGGAGGGCAGTGCTTGCCTCATTACATCCAAAAACACAACAGCAGGATAAACCAGCCAACAAACTGCCACTTCAGCATCATCCCTCCCTCCATCGCTCTCTGCTGTTTCTAACTCACTTATTTCTGGTTCCCTACTATCCTCACAACCATTTCAGATTCTGTTGAAGACGTCAGAAAAGGGCTTTCAGTTGGGACGGACATGGCAGACTCTCTTGTACTCTCTCTCTCTCTCACACACACACACACACACACACACACACACACGCTGATCCCCAGGCCCCCCTGCTATAATGTCAGGTCAGCAGCAGCGGTGCAGGAGCAGTAGCAGCAGCTCAGTGTTTTTGTGGAGGAATGTTCGTCAGCCCAACACTGCTGCAGTGAGCGCCTTTGTTGTGTGGAATGTGTCAGTGTGTGTTTATGATGGTGTCATTGTCTGTAGGTGACAAACAAAGAGGTGACACGACAGCCGGCTAAGCTACGTACACAGGCAGAAGTGCCCCAATGGGTCATTTTCTTATAAAGGACCAGGATCCTTTTTCTTCATAACCATGTGAACAGGAAAAAAAAACTTAAGACTTAAATCGCCTACATTTTAGCTTCTGTGTGCTTCTGTTGATTTTTGTAGTAATATTCATACAAGTGGGATGACAGCTGGGTCGAGTTCACTTTGGAATCTGATATTTGCCTTCTTTCAGAAACAACGAAAGAGCCAAAAAGAAAAGCCCTCTAAGGCAGACTGAAACTTTGTGCTAAATGCTAACTCGCTAACATGCTTATGTTTAGCAGATATCATGTTTACCATCTTATCTTTTGTGTAGTAACTTAGCATGATAATTAACTTATTAGCACATACCTGAAATTACAGCAATGGCTAATGGGACAGTTATCATCACGCTAGTTTGTGTTCAAGTCATGATTTTCGTGGTGGTTTCTTATTAATTGGTTATGTGATGCAATAAAAAGGTACAAAATGCCATGATTGACAGCTCTGTTGGCGAATGTGGGTCCTGCAGCGCTGTGTGCACCTGATTAGCAAAGAAGAGGAGACACAGCAGAACACCAACAAAAGAGTCAAATAACTTTCCATCTTGTCTTCTTCAACCTGATACAATAATCTCTGATTTTTAACAGTAAGTAGAAAGTGTGTTTTTGTGGGTTGACATCAAGACCTCTTCCAGACAGTCTACTGTGCAGACTCTGGCTCAAAATGCCCAATATAGTATTTTGGCTTCATCTTTGTACAACTGGAGGGGGTTGAGGCTTGTTGTCCATCTGTATACAGTCTACAATGTGACAACATAGCTTTCCTATGAGCTAAAATGCATAAATTAGAAAATGACTCTTTGCCACCGTCTTTTCATGTATCACCTTAAAAACCAGCACTGTTAAATACTGCTGACCACTTTGTGCATGTGCGTGTGTGTTCAAGGACAAAGTTTTGTCACTCTCATAGAGCTCTAAAGCCAGTAAATCATCCTGGACATATGCCTGCATTCCCAGCTGCTTGGCTCTTTCTTTCATGTTGGCATACAGTACACACACACACACACACACACACACACACACACACACACACACACACACACACACACACACACACACACACACACACACACACACACACACACACACACACACACACACACACACACACACACACACACACAGATTCAATCAAAGGCCCGGACACACTTTATCATTTCATTCGTCTCTCTCCGTCGTCATCGCCCTCACTCTGTATCTGCTCTCTGTCTTCACATGTATCCCTGTCCTCTGCCGTATCTCTCTCTCACACAAACACACCCTGAGCCCTGCAGACATTTACTTTCTCTCCTTCACTCGCAATCTCCTTTCTCTTTCTTCCCTTCTCACTTCCCTGTCTCTTTCTTCTTTCTCAATCTCCGTGTCTGCCCTCATTCTTTCTCTGTGTCGCGGCTTTCATATCCTCATCTCTCCGCTTGCACTTCAAAGCTCTGCGCAGATCACTTCTCTATCCCTGCAGTTTGTGTGTCAAAGTGTGTGTCTGACTGTACTGTGCACCATCCAGTGTGTATACGTGAGTATCAGTGTCTATACTTCTGCATGGGTTGCACTGTAGCTTATTTCCGTGACTGTAAGATGTGGTCGGGCCACAGGAGAAAAACTTAACCTCATGGATGTTGTGTTGCTGGTGAGCTGAGAACTTTAATTCAGTGAAACAATATGAATTTATGTGTGTGTGTATGTGTGTGTGTGTGTTCTCACCTCTGCTCTCTTGTTTTTGCCCAGAACTGCTCAACAGTTTTGGCAATGTCCCGGTTCTCCCTCAGTTCTTTCTGCCACAGGCGCAGCTCCTGCACATCTGGGCGAACTCGTATCTACAACACACACACAAACACACAGGTACATAGCTTTGCATAAGGTTACATCATCAAAAAAAGTGAGCTGCCAGTGCTGTCTTACGTTACTATATCTTTCTGTGTGTTGGACTTTTTTTTTTTTATTTACTGCGTATGAGACAGTACTATATTTAAAAATGTATAAACTATTTTGTGTTGGCCAATTTAAAGCCCCATTTAAATTCAATTTAATTCCTTGCTGTAATATGAGAATTGTGGAATGGTGGACGCTGTGTCTGAAAAGGGCCCTTCTGCATTGAAAAACCAGTGCTCTTGATGGTAATGAAGCGTGTTAAGATGTATAACCCTGTGTGTCCACGTAGATGGGTAAATGGGTCAAATTCTGCTGCAGATTCATGTCCAGCTGACTCTTGTTCCTCTCTCTGCCCCGTCTGGTCTGGAGCTGGTCACGCTTTTGTTGTCAGAGGAAACCCCTGTAGTTGTTGTGTTGTGGTTTTGTGTAGGCTGCTGGCTTTAGTGAGCGATTACTAAATGCTATCATTGATTTGGATGAATAGAAAATATCCCTGAAGGGCTCAATCATTTTTCTCTCTTTGTCCCCTTCTACTACTTCTACTCCCCCACAACTCTGCATCTTTCTCCTCCCCAGTATCCTCTGACCCTGTCCTCTCTTTCTTCTCTCTAACAACACGTTCTCTCCTCCTCTTTTATCCATCACTCTTCTCTTCTCTTCTCTCCAGGCCCCTTTACGCCTCCCTCTCATTTGGAACCAAACATTCTCCAGAGTGCATGTTTTAATGGCCACAATAGGGTTGCTATGTTAGCAATGGTTATGAAAGTGGAGCTGTTATATAAGCCTGGCAATGGGTGGAGGAATGGGTTAGCCTAGCAGGCTTCAATAGTTAATTTAGCGGGTGTCACGGCGCTGAAACAGCCCCTCTGCTGATGGGAGCAAAGCATAGAAATGGAAATAAGGGGTGAGGGTCAGCAGGGGTGAGGGGGGGTTGGAGTCTGTTGTGTTTGCTCACCATCTCTTGTGTGCATCTTTCTGTGTGGCCATTTCTACTATGTGTCACTTTCAATAGCTGTTCTGCAGAAACCTCATACCTCCAAGTTCTTCTTCTGTTGCTAAATGATGGGAATGCTTGAAAGCCATTGGACCCCTGAGGCAATGCTTCTTAATGTGACAAGCACAGGGGCAAAACAGGAATCTAGTTTCTTGAAAAGCTGCTTTTTAAATATACATGCTTTGAGCATGATGCTGCATGGCAGCAGGAGACAAAGAGCTGAGTTGAATGTGAATGCATGAGAGTTTTGAAGGCCGTCTGTGTGCATCTACACAGCTGATTAGCAGGGGCCCAGTATTATAATGTGATTGTGCACACTGTGCATCAAAGACCGGGTGTGCTGTTTGAGAATATTAATACATTTGAATCACACTTACAAAACAACAAATGCAAGTTCACATCTCATCTAACGAGTTTGAATCATTACTGAGTCTTTGATAATACGGTATCTTGTTGCTTTAATTGTCCGTCTCACTGAGCCTGTTTATGTGTGCTTGTGAGTCATTTCTCATGTGTGCGCATGAAGGTACGGATTAGAGTGATTAGAAAAAATTATAGGACATTGCAAGGCTGCATGAATTCGCACGCATCATTTAGCATGCAAAAGTGCAACAAGAAACGTGTGTACAACACACAATGCATATTCATGACAAATAAATATCATGGTATTTGCCTCTATAGATCATTTTCATTTAAACGCCATCATAAAATCTCATCATCAAACTGCAAAAATTACAAAAGTTTAGTTTTTCATTTCACCGTGTATGATCCTTTCTAGATTGTTTAAATTCTGCATCTTTGTATCTCAATGTTATTGCAAATGATGGAAGCCTGAGTAATTTATGAGGTTTGAAAGATTTGAAATAAAGTGAAAGTCACAAAGACATACGAATCAAATTACAAAACAGGGGCTTCATCCTCTCCCATCTGTCAAAGCTGACACCACTTGCAGCACAAGTAGAACCCCCGAACCCCCAACCCCCCCCCCCCCCACACACACACACACACACACACACACACACACTTACTACGTTCCCACAAATATGTGCACACAGTTTCTCACACACACTTCAATCTCCCTGCACGGCCTTTCAAGCTGCCGGCCTTTTTTTGTGCAAAGCTGCCTGTGTGACCGAGCTCCTCTCCCAGTCTCACACACTGCTGCAGCAGCACAATGGTTTCTGTTTGGAGGAAGCGGCTGCAGCCACATCAGCAGATGCAGTGACAGGCTGTATAAAGGCACAGATTCACACCCCATCCAAGAAGCCGATCCTTCATGTTTTTGTTGACTGATGCTTCCATCAACACTTCAGTGGCAGATCAACTTGAGTTCTGATCAATGCATTGGAGACCCGGGCATAGTATGTATGTAGTGTCACTAAGACTATACTACAATTAGATGTAAAATACTCCATATGATGAAAGTATCCCATCCAATCCAGGTCCAGTGTCCTCCTACAGCCCATCTGTATGAAGGGAAAGTGAGGACGAAACAGAGCCATCAGCCACTGTGTGTGTCCTGAGTGCCTTTGACATATTTTCTGCATGAGTGTCACAGCGTGGCCCATCACTGTCTCAACTGTGGACCTCAGTTCAAACCATTCATGTAGCACTGCTCCCGGATCATTCAGCTGGAATCTCAGACCTAGTTCTGCAGTGGACTATGCGGCTCTCCGGGTGAGAGCGTGCAAGATTCTCTTAAACAGCTCTATTAGTTTCTGTCAAGAAGAGTACACACAGTAGGCTGCTCACAGTGCGCTCCCTTTAGACACAACTGAGCCTGCCAGCCCAAGAATACTTTCAAGTTTCAACTGGATAAACAATTAATTTAAAATGATTCACCAAATAATTGTAATACTACTTTTTTTTTTTGCATTACATTGTTATTCTGAGAATCAAAAAACAACAAGGTTCTTGCAAGTTTAACGAAGATACAAGGCTTGCTAGGCAGATGAAATCGCAGTTGGTAAAAAGTGTATGAGCTACAATTTAACATTTTGCAGCCAAAGCATAGTTTTGAGGAAATAACATTAAGAACTTTTGTGAGAGGTGGATGGAAAGATAGCTAATTTCAGGTCTGTTCTGCTAATGTGAAGCAGCTAGTTATCTTAGCTTTGCACAATAGTTGGTGCAGGAAGGAAACGTGTACCCTCAAGATCATAAATAAAGCAAATGCTACTTTTTGCTGCCTCAGCTTCACTGTTAGTTAGTGTGAGACAGCATTTCCAATATGGACACTGCCATCAATGAACTTCCAAACTCCATTTCAGAAACCAATGGGGGAATGAACTCAGAAGACCCCATATCCCATTTTTTTTACAGTATATGGGTGATCATCAGGGCTTATGGAAAAGTGGAAAACATTTGTCTTTTAGCTAAAACATGAGAGTTATATTTTACTCAACAAACTCAAAGTTCAAATCAGCCCAATCTGATTCCTTTGACAACAAATGTGTGTTACATACAGGCCTTGTGAACTCATCTAACTATCTATAAGACAATCCCTACAGCCACACAGCTACTCCACACAGGGCAGTGATCCGCTCAGGCCAGGAAAAGGCTAACTGCATTGTGTCTGCTTCATAAATCTCTTAGTAGAGACAGTGGAAAAGATCATGATACAATCCTGCTCTGCTGCTTGACCACAAATCCTCAGTATTGACTGCCTAATTGCACTGCCTATTTATTACACAGTAGCTACATTACTGCAACTCAGCTTAGACTTCAAAGAGTCTGAGAAGTCCTGGTGATCAGTGGAGTGTGTGTGTTTGATGTGTGTGTGCATGTACATATGTGTACATTACAGCAGCAGGGCATGGATGAATGGATTAGAGCTAGGCTGAGGCAAACGGTATAAAGAAGATTATGTAACATGTTTAGACCCATCAGCTCTTTATAGTTGTGAGTATAACAACAGACAATCGCATCGTCTAGGCCGATATGTGTGTGTGTGTGTGTGTGTGTGTGTGTGTGTGTGTGTGTGTGTGTGTGTGGGTACATGCTGTACCGCTGCTGCTCTTCCTTCGTCCTCAATATGTTTGGATGAATCACATTAATAATGGAGGGATAAAGCTCCAATCTACAAAAATACCCTCCTTCTTTGCTTCCTGGCCCTTCGTCTGTCTGTCTTTCTTACCAACACACACACACACACACACACACACACACACACACACACACACACACAAACGCACACACTCTGCAGTCAGCGCTGCGTCAGGCAGGTTATATAACAGCAGAGGGTGTAAGAGTGCGGGGGAAAGAGGGGGAGTGGTTGAGGGGAACAGGGCAAAAGAAGAGGTTTTAATCACAACTACATCGTGATTATCAAAAGTCATTATGTTTTTTATAAATGACAAGTTAGTATCAAAACAACAAACATAAAACTCATTTTCATCATCAAGTCAAACTAAATCCCATAATCCTATTACTCTTGTATAAACCCTCAGAACTATTCTCAAGTATTTAAAAACTTACTCTTGGACAGATTAGGTTGAAATATAGCTCATCATTGTTCACTTAGATATTAAGTCTGTAATCCAAAGTCTTATAATGAGAATTTTGTCAGATTAGATTTACAGTGTGAGACAACAAATATGAACGCTCCACGCCGGCACACACACAGAATCAAGTGAAGCTTTACGGTGCATCAGTGCAGCACAGCTCCGTTTGTGCTGATGTCCCCGTCCCTGCTCGTCTGCTCAATGAGCTGTTAACTGTTTTTGTCTCTGGAGTTGAGGTAACAGCAGCAGTGACACACAACGCCGCCTGTATGAGGACTTTGCGACTACCCAAAATATCTCCACCCTGTGTATCCTGAATAAATGATGATCCTGAGAGGCCTTCCCTCAGCTTTGTACTCGGATTGTGCTGCGTTCACAGCCTCCATCTGGTTCACTTTTCTTGCATAAGGGCTGCATTTCCCTCCGTATCACAGCATTACTAATCATCATCTGGCTTTTTTTTTTTTTTTCATCCTTTTTGTCATCCATGCATACATTTAAAAATATTCCCAACATAGCCTGAGCTTAATCCTTCCAGATAGATCATCCCATCATATAACAATTGTTTCTTCCTGGCTGTGTCTCTCCTCCTGTGAACCCCTCTGGGTGCTGGGATGCAGTGCTATCAGTGGACCTTGCTGAACCTCTCTCCGCACAGTGGGGTCAGCCTGCTCAGTGCTGCCACCCCATGTGAACAGTGGAGAGTAAGATTGTATTTCTGTAACAGAAAAAAAAAGGAGGTGTTGCCCCCTGCTGGTTCATAAATAGTCCTAACCTAGATGTGGCTTCACATAGGCACATATTCAAAAACATATTTTAATGCACGCAATACACAAATTCAACAAGAAGCAGAATAATGTTTCCACATCTTTATGAAGTTGCACATGACATTTATTTGCTCCCAATAGCTTGCTTAACAAAGCTGTATAAATAAGAGCTTCTGCTGTGAGAAGTAAAAACCTAAACCCCTGCTGTCATCCTCACCTCACACCAGACACGGCTTTATCTGCGTGTGAAGTCAAAACTCTGCTGTTTGCCTCTGGTAGTGTCTGTTTATATCTATTTATATCAGTGCACAGAGCACTCCAACGCCCACACAGGAAGGAATTAAAGGCCGACATCACTGATGACATAATCATGCTGCTGAATGAAATTGCGTTCCTCGTGGAAGAGAGGCTTTTCAGCTGGATGTTATTATACAACAAAATCAAACTTTGGACCAATGCACATGAAGCAGGGTGCCTATAGTATCCTAAAAGAAACACTCGCACAACGCCAAGCAGCACAGATCTCTGTGGTTTGTGGGGAAACTGCAGGGTTCGATCATTTTTCAATATCCAAATGTTTTCAGGCAGTAACTTAAATATTGTTGTGTGGGTCAAAGGAATAGATTTTTTTCTCATGGACCTTTCATTTAAATACATTTGGATTTTCTTCAGTTTAAGAATTCCATGCCTATATTTTCCAGTCATCTTTCAGGTCCATTTTATGAACTCTTTTGTCTGCAGTCCAAGCACTAGTTTAATAAAATACTTTTTGATTTTGCTCCCTGTCATGATGAGTGTACCTTGTATCCCCTCCAGAAAGCCTGGATGAGCAGAGCAGCCTGATCCTCGCTCAGCTGCAGAAACAGAGGGATGGGAGGCCTGGGACTGAAGAAAGAAAAGGTTTGATGAGACAGAGCAGAAAGATGCTCTACCTTACGTGCATAAGAAAACACATTATGTAAACTCACTGCATGCGGAGCCAGCTCTTGACAAATGGGATGTCGTGAAAGTTCACATGGATCTGTTTCCGCCTGCTGGGGTTGTGGCTGAGGAAAAGAGAAGATTTAGCTAAAAAAAATTTACACACAGCATTCAGATAATAACATTTAGAAGAACTAAGGTTAAGGTGTATGTGCAGGCCCTTACTTGTAAAGCCACTCAGTTAGAAAATCAAACGGGTTAAAAGCTGTTATTTTCCTCTGTAACACAAAACAAAGTAATCAATATTGTACATCACACAAAACTATTAATAAATATCAATATATACATTAACAATATGATCATGTTTTCAACTTACAACTACAGCTGTGAAATGAATGTGGTGAAGTAAAAAAAAGAAATTCAATCTGATTTAGAGTAGATAGCTTAAAGTAGAAAACATCAAAAAAGAAACACTTGAGTCATTTACAAGAACCACAACATTTTTAGTCTTTTTAACATTTTAAAATCATTTTAATGTTATCAATTAACTCAGACCTCAAAACAGCCGTGTTTCTGAGCTTCTGTCAGCAAAGCCTCGAGTCCAGACAACAACACTGGAAACACTCTCCTCTCCAAAAACTGTATGACAGGACCTGACACAAAGGTACATTCATACATCACGTACAGACAAAGAATGACAAAGCAGACAGATGCTCCCTGCAGAGCGTGAGCCATCATCTTACTTGTTTGTAGTTTAAGAGGTGATGTAGTTCCTGGTGCTGACGGGGGCCTCTGGCTTGAAGGACGTGGTTTTTGTAACACAGCATAGCCAGCGAGAGCCGGGTGACCAAGAAGAGGGTCAAAGTCTCTGAGAGGATCATCATCCACAGATACCTGATGAAACCAAGGATTGTGGATTGTACTGTATAATAGTTTTGTCAGACAA